GGGTCAGCGTGCTGCAGGTGGGCAGGGGTGCAGTGAGCAGCATTCCCGCAGACCCCAGTGGCCCTAACCTGCCATCCTCTTGCCATCCTCCAGGCCCTGCAACTGGTTCCTCTTCTCCGACGTGCTCAAGCGGCTGAAGCTGTCCTCCCGCATATTCCAGGCCCGCTTCCCCCACTTTGAGATCGCCACACTGCCCAAGGCTGAGTTCCAGCGGCAGGTCTCTCTCAGTCAGGTGCTGGTGCAGGAGGAGGTGCAGGAGAGCCCCGAGCCAGTGCAGGGCTTTGCAGAGACAGTGGAGCTGGTGCACTATGAGCCCGAGCTACTGCAGCTCCTGGGGTCGGTGGTGGAGTACCAGGCCTGGAGCAGCTGACGGAAACAGCTCGCTCCCTGCATCACGAGGCAATAAGGACCAACGGGAAGCGGCCCTCTCAGCGCCAGCAGCAGGGACCTGGGTCTTTGGCCAGCCAGTCCTTCTCTCCTCGGGGGTCTCCTCCAACTGGGGAGACAGGACCCTTGCCTCCAAGGACTTGCCCGGATCCCTTCGTCACGAGCAGCAGCGGTTGCAGCTCTCAGCCCATGCAGCTGTGGTGGGCAATGAAGCCCTCTCCGCGGGGCCACGTGAGCCCCAGCTCTTGGGGCAGCAAGAGCTCTGGCTCCTCCAACACAAGAGGTGGGGGGTGCCCTGCCTGACCCCGTGGAACTGGGCCTCTCTGTTTGACCTCCCCCTCCCAACGTCTTCCATAGTATTTATTTAATTAGTATTTAATTTGTAAATGTTTCCTTTGTTTTCTGCTGAGTCTGTATCACTGTGATAGTGAGCTCCGAGCTAGGGGTGAGGGCTTCCTCCAGCCCCTGTCTGAGGCCAGCGCTCCCCCGGACCAGCCATGCCCTGAGCTGCAGGCCCAGGGGGTCATGGCCCTCCAAGGACGGGCTCCTTGATCCTTGGCTGAGAGCCTGGGAACAGTCACTGCCCTTAGCTTTGGAGCCAGCCCCGCTGCTCCATTCTCTCACCAGGCTCCTTCCTCCATCTCATTTGTTTTGTGCTGCTGCTCCCGCTCCCGCTCCCGCTCCCTGGCAGCCATCACACCCACACTCCCCGACAGCTTCTTGCCATGGGGGCTCTGGCCACTGCAGAAGCCCCCTCAGCGCCTGCTGCGGTGCCTGCTCAGCCTCAGCCCGCTCCCTGCTCCCCTCCAGTGTCACCACGAGCAGTGCTCCGGGAGAGAGCGAGCAAGGCGCCGTGCTGCTCCCAGGAGATGGTACAGTTTTATTGTACAGGTGCTAACAGGACTGAGGACGAGACAATCTTGCTTTCTCTGGCTCTCCCCTGCTCCGCAGTGGGAGCACTGGGTGGGTTTTTTCTGCTGGCTCATTTTTCCTTTGTGTTGTGTTTGTTCCTGGCCAGGGCAGGTGTTACCCCTTCTTTCCCCTTGGAATCCAGCTGCCAGCCTTCCCTCCTGAGGGCCTGGCAGCACCTTGTGTAAGCCAAGGGTTTTTTTGCCTTTGGGTGTGTACTCTGGTTGCTCTTTCTGATTTCTGTTTTATTATAAACAGCAACAGGCTGTGTTGTCAAAAACACTGATGTACAGAAAAAAAAAACCTGCATCAGGACACCGGCTCCTGCTTTTTCTTCCTTTTCCCCTGTCCCATGCCTGCTGCAGGCAGCTTTCCCTGCAGAACGGTGTGAGCTAATGGGGCAGTGAAGGAGCATGGGAATGCTGCCAGCCCAGAGCAGCCACAGGCAGTGGCAGGGCAAAAGCAGCGTGGAAAGAGCCATAATTGGGTGGACCCTGCCTGCACCCGGCTTTCTCCTGAGAGGGACCAGGCAGAGGTGAGCACTGTGGGGATAAAGATCTGGTTTATTGGCCTGAGGAAGTGTCCACAGCGCGCGCAGGCTGCAGGACGACGTCCTCAGTGCAGCTCCCTGGGGTCTGGAGGTGGCAGTGGGGCTCTACTCCTCCACTTTGGGGCTGACGCAGGAGCCGCGGAAAGCCCTGCGCAGAGCCTTCAGCGCCCTTCTGAAGCGAGACGGTCGTCGCTGTTGCACTGCTCCTCTGTCCGGGAGGGTGGCGATGCCTGTGGGGAAAGGAGAGCTGTAGGCGTGGGGCTGGGCGGGCACCAGGCAAGCTCCCGCTGCCACCCACCACCAAGGGCTTCCCCCAGGGACTTTCCACTGGAGGCTTTCAGCCCTCGTCCAGGGAGGGGAGGCCGGGGTAGGGCCGAACTCGTGTGCACGCTGCTGCCGGCATAGCCTTGGTGCCACTTGACTCAGGGATGTACCTGGCTCATCCTTGGTGTCCTGAACACTGGCAGGTGACATTGCCAGTTCATCCTCCTGCAGTGGCGGGGAGGCAATGGCTGTGCTGGCCTCTCCCTGATGCTTGTTTGGTGCTCTCCTCGCCTTGTGCCTGAATAAGACCTGCATAGCTCTGTTGGTTACTGTGACTCTCTGTGAGGCAGGTGCCTCTCTCTGGGCCTGAGCTGTTGTCTGCTGCTCATCCATGCTGGGCTCTTCCTGAGCTCCTGCTTTTCTGTGTAGAACCAACTCAGAGGCAGTGGGGCTGAGCAGGGCAAATGACTTTCTCCGTGCCTCTGCTTTTGCCCCCTGCTCGAAAAAGCCAGTGGAAGCTGATGCCGGTGCCTCCTGCTCTTGTGCCACAGCAGCGAGAGGTGCGCGGTGCTGCTCTTCCTGAGCAGCTCCAGACAGGGCAGGAGCTACTGACTCAGTGTCTGTGGGACCGGCTGCGGCAGGAGATAAGCACTGCAGGTCTCCGGCTGCCTCTCCTGCCGCATCCATGCCCCTGCCTCTGGGGGAGATGGACTCGTCCTGGGCACCCATGCGGGGGGCCTGGAAAAGCTCTGGCTCTGATGGGTTGACCAAGTTATTATGTATGATGATAATAACCACTGGGGACAGCAAGTTTTCACTGTCCTCAATGAGTTCTTTCTCCTCCTCAGGGAAGGCCGCTGGCTCCTCCTGTAAACACACAGCAGAACATCAGGAGCTGACAGCTCTCCCCAGCCCTGTCTCTCTCAGGGCTGCACGTAGCTGTGTGGGTGCTGTGCCATGGGCTGCCTTCTCCCCTGCTGCCCTATAACCAGCGCCAGGGCTGGGTGGTGCATTGGCCCGTCACATGGGCTCTGGGGCTGCTGCTGGGGGCTGCTCACTGGGGAGTTCCCTCACGGGCTGCTCTCCTTCAGTGCCTTTGCTCCAGAGGAGGGGTGCGGGAAGGGAGAGCAAGAGCACAGGCAGGGGAGGGAGGGAATGTCAGCGGGATGACACAGGGAGCACCAGCAATGTCCCTGGCACACGCGCTTTGGGATTTGGGGCTGCTTCCAGCACCTCAGGATCCCTGGTGCCGGCCACATGCGTGGTGCTCACCTGGTGCTGAGAGTCCTGTACCAGGAGAGGAGCTGCTGCTTCTCCTTCATCGTCTGCTCCAGGAGCAAGATGGGGTGTTCCAGCGTCTTCCACGGGGATGTCGGGCAATGAAGCTGCCACTTTCACCTTGTGTGCTTCTGAGGAGACAATGGCTCTCCTGTCCTGTTCTTGATGGTCTCCTGACATGGGAGACACTACATCTTTTCCAGGCTCACTTGCTGATGGGACAAGGCGGGGTTTGCTGGGCTGTGCCTCAGGGCCTTCAGCCACAGGAGTCTCAATGTGCTCAGAATGTGCATGGGACGATGCTGCCATCGCCACATCCACACTTTGGGCCACATCCTGGTGTTCCACTTGCTGCTGGTTGGTTCTCTTGACGACAACCACAGGCTGCACAAGTGGTTTCCTCTTTTTGCTCATGGCTGTGGCCTCCAAAGCTGCATCCTTTGCTTTGGTGGTCTGCAGGGCAGGTGCCTGTCTCTGTCCCTGTGCTGCTGCCTTCTGCTTGCCAGAGCGACGGGAACCTCGTGCCGGTGCAATAGGAGGGTGAGGTGCTCGGTGCTTCTCAGGAGCTCTGGGCTGGCCTCTGCTTTTTGGCTGCTCTGAAGTCTTGATGTGGGGCTGTGGGGGCAGACGCTGAGGAAACACCTTCTGGTGCAGCACCGGCAACTTGCTCTTGTGGCTGTCCTTGCTGCCTGCTGCTGGCAGGTGCTCTGCCACTCGCCCAGCGCTCCTGAGTGTGTGCTGAGTGGCTGGGGCCTTGCTGTTGGCTGCACGGACAGTGGCTGCTCTTGCTTGTGTCCCTGCAGCCCTGCTGTGTGCTGGGTCCTGCCGTGCCACTGGCTGCTGGTGGGGTCCCTGGCTCCCTGCCACAGGTAGCAGCCTGCAGCACTTGCTGACAGCTCTCTCTGACTGAAGTGGTGGCTGGGGTGCCATTTTCACCGATGGTGGCAGACAGTGTCTGCTCCTGTGTTGTCACACTGGTTTGGGACCCAAGCCCACACCTCCCAGAGCCCTGTGCTGGCAGGAGCAGGGGCAGGGGCTGGCAGGTAGAACGCGACCTGCCACAGCACCTGCTGGACTGGTGTGCACAGCCAAGATGACAGATCGCAAGTTCCTACATGGAGGCTGGAGTGCTGATAACCTGCTCCTGCCATCATTATACCTCTGGGTTCAGCACCTCCCATGTCTGCCTGTTCCCACCCAGTTCAGCCTGTGCTTTCCAAACACACAAAAGTGCACCTCCTCCATTGCTCCCATAGTTTAGTTCCTTATCTCTGGGCTTAGCAACTCCAAGCCTTGCTCCTTATTCTCACATCCCTTCTACATCCCTCTCATTACAGTCACTGGGCTGCAGTACGCACCAGGCTTCAAAAGCCAGCTGACTTGGGAGCCACTGCATCACACACTGTTTCATACCATCAGGATGCACTTTTCCTACTTGGCCAACATGTGCTGCCAGGAGCCAGCAGGACTGCAAGCTCAGCAGCTGGCAAGTGCTGCAAGGAAAGAGCTTGCTCCACAGGCTTCTCTGTTACCGACATGAGGGAAAACCTGGCAACAGCATGCAGCATACTTCCCCCTTTCAAAGCCAGCAATGCACAGCTACAGGACAAAGTTATTTAAGTTAGAACAGTCTGACTTTATTGGTGCAAAGATCAGAACTGTAGGTGACTGGAAATATTCTCATGTACTCAGAGGAGAGCGTCTGTGGTGAAGGGGTGCACGCAGACAGTGGCCCCCCTGCCCTACTCGCACCTATTGTGGTGTTTCTGTTCCAGAGTTTAGTCTTCGTGGATGTTGAAAAGCTTTGCTACTTCATTGAGATCATCGTGCTCCTCCCCATCTTTGATGATCTGATGGAAGGAAGAACACATTAAAACCCCCACATTCAAGTACCAGTGCTGCAAGGCTGTACCTGTCACCCATCAACACAACAAATTCCTTAGATCTCTGAAGCTCTGCTGATGACAACTTCGGCAGTCCACAACACAACAGTACTTACTACAGCCAAATTTATATGGGAGTCTTAAACACATTATTATCTGCCTACAGGCTGGACTTGAAACCATCTCACTTCTCCTGTAGGATTTCTTTCTGATGCCTAGGTTTCCCTTTACAGATCTGAAGAACAGGTACCTTCAACAAGTGATTCACCTCAGCTCTGAGAAAATGAGCCAGCTTGGCTGTTTGCATGACTTAGAGGAGCCCATGTAAGTGGCTTAAACTTGCAAACCTACCTTTCAGATGAGATGAGAGGGCAAGGTACACACTTGGCCCTCTGATTTAGAGGAATGGCTGCTACAAGAAGGAAGGAAAGGATCTCTTTCATGGGGAAGGAAGTACTAATAGGTTTAAAGTGCATCCTCAAAGCTTCTGATAGGTACCAACAGAAACTTCCACCACTAAGAATAGCTCATTTTGGGACAGATCACCTGGAGATGATACAGAAACTCTCACAAACTACTGAAATTCTCCAGATGTTAACAAGTGACCCAAGTATAGCTAATCTTACCTTGGTGGATGGAGACTGACTGTGGGGGATGGAGACAGGCTAAGCACCTACTCAAGGCTGCTCCTAACCTGACTTTTTATGGCAGGGTATCTAGGATGAGTTTAAGATTGTTTTAGACGATTGTACATCAGAAAAAGTGGCACAAATATAGGACATTTCATGCTCCTGCTCAGTCCATTGTGATTCTTGCCTGTACTTACTACAGGCCTGAAATTTCAGCCCTGCAAAGGCAAGGCTTGAAGCATAAACCTGACTTGTGTGGTTTTTTTTGTAAGACTTTTGAACAAACATGCAGAAAAGCACAAGGACATCTCCCATAATTCACCTGAGGCAGGGCTACCATTGGATGTTGCACAGCATCGTTCCAGACACAGCATCTGCATTTATTCATCCTAATTTTCGATTGGTAGGTTGATTGTTCTGCATGAAAATCCCTGACCTAAGCAAGCCTCCCTGTTCAGCACACTGGTCCTGTACTGACCTTTCGAGCAATAGGCATCCTGTTGAAGATGTTCCACAATACGATTCCAACCACAACTTTATCCCTGAGGTAGAAAATGACACCTTTGCCATAGTCTTCTCCTTGCTTTGGAACTTGAGGCGCTGGTGAAGAGCTTGGAGAAACGTGAACTTCTGAGGCTTCTGCTTCTGTCTCACTCTCTGATCGAATGCCAGTTCCTAACACAAAGATACGAGATAGCAAACATCCAGTGTGGAAAAAAGCTGCAGCTTTTTGCTGCGATTGTGAAAGCAAACTGAGGTTCTGTAACAGCCCGAGGCATTCTCCTTTGAGGTGCATACAGCAAAAGTTAGGTTTCAGTAACAGGAGAATGAAGCAATCCTAACCTGAAGCACAACCCTGACAATTCCCAACTTCTTTCACTAAATGGAATCTTTTTGGGCAGCATATGCAAAATAAAGATGCTTAGATCCACACAATCTTTTGTCCAAAACCTGATTACTTTATGGAGATAGAGGAAACTAAGCTTCCCTGAGAAAAAAAGTTGGTAACTGAGATGGTAAGTGTCTTCTTGGAGACATTTTAATATCAAAACCAGCCTTTAAAGCTTGGTCTAGAAAAGAAACAGATTGATGTCTCTTAGTGCTCCACAGTATGATCAGCCTGAATCTGTGGCCACCGCAGAGACCCAAAACCTTCCACCCACCGCCAACAGCTCCCAAGCACAACTACAGCCCTACCTGACTGCTCTGTTGCACTTTTCGGTGTGTCTTTTGCTGTTGCTTTAGCAAAGACTCCTACTGTTGGCAAACTACTGTCAACAAGGCCAATGGCTTCGTACCCCACATTAGGGCCCAGATCACTCCTAGGAATGAAGGACGGGAAAAAGCATTTGAAGCATTAGCGAGACAAACACAAGGCAAATCCATCCAGCCCCAAAGCCTTAGGGCGGGAGGGTGGGCATGTGCAGGCTAACTGACACTATCTCATCTGCATACGCTAAGGTGGCACAAGCAGTGAAGATACAGCAAGTCTGAGACCATCACTTTCTGATTCAACAAACAAGAACCTCAAATACTTAAGGGGTGGCTTCCAGGAGCTGCATAGATCTTTGCCCTTTAGGAAGTCAGACATCTGACCTCAGTACTCAACTGTGGGCACTGGGATGCAGCTCATAGGTACTTGCTAAAACCTCTGTGTTGATTGCATAGTACCACTGTAACATGGAGCTGGGGCAGAAGCAAGTGTTCCTCCAGGTCCTAGTAAGATCATCTGATCCAGCTTCTGGCCATGCTGAGTTACAAGCCCCAGATTTTGCAGTACAGGCAATTACTGAGTGTGTATTTCAGAGAGAGCATTCTGAGAAGATTAACAAGAACATGTGGCTGTCACTCCTCCTTGAACTGGGCACCTGCTGAATATGCACTGGGCTGCTTGCAGGAGTCAAAGCAGCTCTGGTTTGGGGCCCAGTAAGTACACTTACTGTAGAAGTGTCAAAAGTGTTCCCAACTATGCCGAGGAAATAGATGCATTACACAAAACAACACGGGTCCCTTACACGTGCATCATGAACTTCCTGGCCAGAGTCCTCCAGCACAGACTGGGCTTACAGAAAGGAATCCCAGTAACGTGCCAACTAACCAGACCTGGCTCCCAGCAGTGGGTAAGTCAGAACTCAAAAAGAATCCTGAACAGATGTACGAGGAGCTCCTGCCACATGCCATGTTTTGAGCCCAGGAGAAGGAAGTGTCACTTGGTGGGGGCTGGTAAGCCCCGAGGGTAACCCCTGCCAACAGAACACACTAGTGCAACTCACGATCCCCCATCACCTACATCTGTGTCATGGGCAAGGGTCCTGAAGAAAACCACCCAGCTGAAATGAATGCTTCTGTGGTGGCTGTGGCTCAAAGAGAAGTGGGGAACTCCTCCAGAGTCCCTGCAAGACTCTGAAACCAAGTGTTCAGGTAAATGATGGCAAGTCATAAATAACTATTTTTGAGGAGATTTCTCCAAGTAAAGTAAAACTTTTCCCCATATTTAAACTCCTGCTAACCTTACATTTCTGATCTTCAGCTCTGGGAGTCTTTTTGTATGTGGTTTTTTGTTTGTTTTAAAAAGAATGTGTGTTGCAAAACATACAGCAGAACAGCCTATTTTCTCCATACCCCTGGAAAACAATAAACACACAAACACTCCTGGATGCAGCTGCGCATCACTACTGAAGCATCAGTTCAGGTAATCAGCAGTGGTGCAAAACAGCCAACACCAACAGACTGTGATGAGGAACTGGAGATCATTTTAACAGAAAAGCTGCTACTAAGTTCAACCTGCAAATCAGCCTGCTCTGCAGGAAGAGGCTGCTCTTTATGGCTGCTGGGAGAAATGGGGATCTGCAGGAAGGAAAACAATTCTGGAGAGGTCAGGACAGAGCAGCAATGTTCAATCCCTTCCCATTCCCTGTGCTTCTGGGAACAATCAGCTGTACTGTATTTGCTGAAGTAGCTTTGCTGCACTCAAGAAGCAGAAACCTTTACAAGGTGTATCTTGTCACAGCTCCTCAATGAGACCAAGTAAGAAATACAAAAAGAAGAAATCACATTACCAGAACATGGATTGATGCCAATAGGGCTTTGCAGCTCCTGTCATGTTTTCTCCAGCCAGTCTTCCACTCACAACAGCATGATCATGGTGCTCTACACGCCTCCTACCTAGTTTGATATCATAGAAGCAGGCAGCATCCCCTGCCTTAAAAAGAATCATTCAGTGAGGGCTGAACATTGACATTGAAAGCTTAAACTAATCACAACCAAAAATGGCACTGGAAGAGAACAAAGTGGAAATATGAACCAGGAATCTCTAACAAACCCCAACCACCACTTCTGCTGTATCCCACTACCCAAGCCACACAAGTCCTGGTTTTTCAGCATTTTTCATCAATCTTTTGAAAAATAAGGACTTTATCAGGTACATTTTCCCAGAAGAAGTCTTAACTCCCACCCCTCTTACACAGTAGAATAACCTACGGTATCTTTAGGTTACCCCAACTCCTCTTACACAGCATAACTTAGAACACTCGCACTGTTGTTCCCACAGCACAAAGCATGCTGTGGTGCACAGCCTCCATGGCTGCCAGCAGGGTCTGTGGTACAAGTGGTCTCAATACTTGTGATTTTTTTGCCCCATTCACCTAACCTGGATGCATCAACCCCCATAACTCTGTGTGGTCCAAGCGCATCAGCAGGACCAGCAGATAAATCTCCTCTTCACATACTCACCACCCAGATATTGGAGCGTGCCTGCAGCTCTGCATTCACCCTGAACCCCCCGAAGTCAGAGTCCACCTCCAGCCCAGCTGACTTGGCCAGCTCCACATTAGGCTCCAGGCCTACTGCAGCCACAATGTGATCTGTCTCCACCTGTTTGGGGATTCGGAATTAGAATCTCAGTTCTCTCAGTGCTCCTGCAAACGTGGACCTCTCCCTGCTTTTAAATTTACCTTTCGTCCGTCTTTCAGTTTAATCACCAGCCGCCCTCCAGAGACAGAGACAGACTTGACCACGGCGTTGGGCATGACATTAACACCCTCTGGAAGGAAACACAGGGAATGTGACTGCTCACTCAGGGGCACACTGGTTTCAGCTGAAGGAAGGTCCTTGGTGAAAACACAGGCAGAGCAGGGGCTCGGCTAGCCACCAAGAGTGGCCTTTGCCACTCCTGTTTGGAGCAAAGCATGATGAGAAAGCAAGCCAGCTGAAAAGTTTGAAAGAGCTACTTAAATAGCAATCAAAAGTACATGCATCATACAATAAAGTGACACCCCAAAGAACTCCCAAAGATAGCCTTTCAGGCACTAAGGACATTCAATTACCTATTGCTCTGCCACAAGCCAGACCAATGGGTCTGACAAGGCAGCTTCCACAAAGTAATTCAGACCTGTGGGTTACAGGGGCCTGCAATCCACAGCCCAGCTACATCCCTTCTCCCTTTATCTCCACTCCACTTACCAATGTACAGGAATATTTTCTGCATTTCATATAGCAAATGGGGAAAAGGTATCTCAGATCTCAGAGGCGTTCTGAGCTAACACCAGAGCAGCTGGCCTTACAAAGCTGCATGCATGAGGCTACACAACCCTGCTCTCAAAGTGACTCTAAGATGACTGCACTAGGCTGTATGAAGTGGAATGATTCGAGGCTAGAGCAACTCAGAACAAGGCAGTTATTTAACCATGCCAAGTGCAAGGTCCTACACCTGGGTGGGAGCAATCCCAGGCACAGCTACAGGTTGGGCAGAGAAGAGATTCAGAGCAGCCCTGCAGAGAAGGACTTGGGGGTGCTGGTCAATGACAAAATGAACATGAGCCGGCTTCAGTGTGCACTTGCAGCCCAGAAAGCCAACTGTATCCTGGGCTGCATCAAAAGGAGCTTGTCCAGCAGGTCGAAGGAGGTGATCCTGCCCCTCTGCTCTGCTCTCGTGAGACCTCACTTAGAGTATTGTGTGCAGTTCTGGTGTCCTCAACATAAAAAGGACATGGATCTGTTGGAACAAGTCCAGAGGAGGCCATGAGAATGATCAGGGGACTGGAGCACCTCCCATATGAAGATTGGCTGAGAAAGCTGGGGCTGTTCAGCCTGGAGAAGAGAAGGCTGCATGGAGACCTCATAGCAGCCTTCCAGTATCTGAAGGGGGCATATAGGGATGCTGGGGATGGACTCTTCATTAGGGACTGTAGTGGTAGGACAGGGGGTAATGGGTTAAAACTTAAACAGGGGAAGTTTAGGTTGGATATAAGGAGGAAATTCTTTCCTGTTAGGGTGGTGAGGCACTGGAATGGGTTGTCCAGGGAGGTTGTGAATGCTCCATCCCTGGCAGTGTTCAAGGCCAGGTTGGATGAGGCCTTGGGTGATATGGTTTAGTGTGAGGAGTCCCTGCCCATGGCAGGGGGGTTGGAATTTGATGATCTTAAGGTCCTTTCCAACCCTGACTATTCTATGATTCTATGATTCTATTCTATTGTAAGACAACTTTGGTTCCAGATCACAGAAGCTGTTAAAGTAACTTGCCAGTATGTAGTAGGGATCATTCTGTGCAGGAACAGCCAGAGGGAAAACCTCACCAGCATCAGCACACGTGTGCTTGGTGTTCCCAAAGGAACATCTAAGAGGCCAGAGATTCATGGGAGCTCTGCATTACCCAAGCTGCCTGAACTGCAGCTTGTTCTGTTCTGCAGCTGAGCCACCTCAGGGACCTGGTCTTCCTGAGGCTGTACCAGCAGACAAGCAGAGCTGTATCTCACAGAGAACAGCTAAACAACACCCACTGGCCTAAACACCACAGCTCTGCCACCCTCTGAGGAGGAACCCTGAAGTACAGCTTCACCTCTTCTGACTTTCTCTGTGGTCCAGTTGCTCAGATATTCTGGCAAGACTTTGCCCATGTTGCCGTTCTCTGGAAACACCTGAATCACCTCCAGGCCTCTGCTTCGTGCTGAAAGGAATGCAAAGAGCTTTACAACCTATGGCTAAAGAGCAGCAGTACACACTTCAGTACTTGACTTGTTTATGCAAAGAGCTTGACGGAAGTTTCTGAAATGGGGAGTTCTGGCTCCCAGATTTCCCACAGTAGTCAGAAAGTGACTGACCACTGTTTCCCATACACCTGCAAACTCCAGGGTAACAGACAGCAGATTTCTAAGCCAAATGCATATTGTGCTGGAGAAAACTTTCCATATCAGAAAATTGCCATAAAGACACTACTCAAAGCTGCACACACTTGACAGTGAGAATCCAGTTGCTCATGGCCTCTCTGAAATGCCAGTTTTAAGGTGGCTTTTAGCATTGAGAGAACAAATATAGCTTTTTACAGGGTGGAATGACTTTGCAGCATGTGCAGAGCTTATAGGGAGCCCGACTGACAAAACTCTTTGTGGCCAGGGGCTGCTTGACAGCTAATGGGAGAGAAAATGGAAATCTAGGTCAGGCCATACAGCCAACACCACACATGTGCAACAGGGTTGTTTCAAGCAGACCACAAGTCTGTGCAAAAAATCAGCAGCTGGAGAATGAAGGAGTTTACAACATTAGGCTGCTTACATGCAGTGTCTGTCACTTCTGTCAAGGTGCCAGCTGAAGCCACACTGCCCACAGCAGCACACTTACCTCTTCTTCCCAGCGCACAGGCCAGCTCACTGCCAAGAAAGCCACCACCAATGATTGTGATGGACTTGACCTCTCTTGAAATCTTTTCCAGCTTTTTGTAGTCCTCAATCTGAAAGAAGACATTTCAAATATCCTCAAACAGGAATGGCCACAGAAGATGTTTTTCTCCAATTTCTCCTTCTGTAATAAGAGCAACTCTCTCCCCAAATTAGAAAGGGAGATGTGCTTCTCCTTCATCCTCTTTGTTTATTGCACATGAAAAAAACCTCTCTGGCTTCCTAATGTTTGTGCTACTTTTTCCCTCTCCAGGTAACCTCAGATTCCTGCATTTTCCCCTAACTTCCAACAGCAATTACAATTAAATTTCTAGATGCAAATGTACTACAGCACAAACAGTACTACAAGGATGCCACAGCTCACGTCATACATCTTTCCCTTCCCACGCTGAGCAGATCAGACCTTAGGGTAAGTCCAGCAGAGAGAAGAAAGTTCTCAGATGGCTTATTCCCAATTCATTCCCTGAACTAGACCAAGGAGAAGGTTGCATACCTGTCCCCAGTACCATGTTTTCAAGAAAAGCAGAGTTTGTCAGCTAAAACCAACTCTACAGCAAAAACCATGACTAAATTCCATGTCTTTTATTCACTTTGTCCCAGGGCATGGGATGAAGGTGAAGAAATACCACAAAGCAGGCAGGGATATCGGTTTATCAGCTCACTGGAAAACCATCTAACTCAGTTCAAGAGCTAAGACACATGCTCAGCTTCACACTTAGCTCAACTGCAGAGCACGAGAGCAGCCTCTGTCATGTCCTAGGCCAAAGGCCAACCTCTTGCCTCCGTGCTGCAGGATCGTGGCATGCACTTACTCCTGACGGGTGGCAGGCTGAGCACTGAGCCAGCTTCCCATGTCTCCCTACAGTCCTGAAGGCACTCGCTGCTCACAGGCCAGACTGCCCTGCAGAGCGTACATTGCTCGTGGTTTTAAAAGGCCTGCAAGGTGCAAAGCCATACACGAGGGAAACTAAAAAACCAAAAAAACCAAAACCCAGCAACCAGACAAAAAAAACCAACAATCATCATTGCAGCTCTCAGGCCTGAGGCAAGCAGGGGAGTGCTCTGGTAGACTCTACCCGTTTAGCTGCCTTGGGAAAAGAAATAACTAGCAAACAGACTCCTGGCTACCAGGCCAAGGAAGCAGCAGCCAAGGCACAGCTGTCCCGGACCCTGAGCAGGAGCATCCATGGCTCTGTTGTTTCAACACCCCAGGACAGCAGCTGCTGGATTTTACCTTTCGGAACAGCGTCAGCCTTTGCTGTACATCTTTTCCTGCTCTTTCAATGGCAGGAAGATTCCTTGGGGAACCACCTGAGGGCAAGGAGAAAGAGACTAATGACATCATGGCCAGGTCACTGGCTATCCAGACAATGCAGAGCTACCTTTAATCATGACAGTGCTTTCCAAACTGCTACAGCATGCTCTGTTCCCCAGACTGCTACAACATGCTCTGTTCCCTGTTGCCATCTGGGATTTTAACATGAAAGACCTTCTGGGTGGGCAGCAGGTGACCCAGCAGTCACCCACAGAAAAAGATGGGATGCTGTACACCTTGCTCCACTAACTGGAGACAGCCAGTGCCACTTGAACCACACAAGACCATAGGCAGGACCTGAAGCTGGCCTGTACAGCAGTTCTTTTACTGAGCTGCTACGAAGTCACCTTTTCCTCCTTTCCTGCTGCTTTTCACAGGGCAAAGCTGCGAACATCCCGGAGAAGCTGGCTTTTGTGAGGCAGGTGAAACACCCAAAGCATGGCTGTCTATGACTGTCCTTCACATTACTGCTCTGCCAAGTGTTTGACATACTGCAGAAATTTCCTTGTCAGATAAATGTCACTGAACTAAAAAGCCTGGTACAAGACATAGAATAAAAAGTGAAAAACCCCCAACAACTTACCAGTAGCAATTAGACATTTGTCATAGGATATCTGGGTACCATCACTGAGTTTCACTGTGTTGCCTCTAACATCCATATGTACAACCTGCAAAATTAAACACCTGGGCACTGTAGGGAGTTAAACTGCACAGACTATTGATTAGAAAAGCAAACTTGGAAGTTACATTCTCAAACCTTTAGGTTTAGGGCAAGGGGGAGGAGGGAAGGAAGAAGACAAGAAGTAGGAATTCTTTGACAGCCATCACAGATCAAGCTGATCTTCCCAGGCTCTAAGAAATGGACTTGGACACCTGAGGTATCAGTAAAAGGACTCACTGAAGCCTTATTTTAGTGAGATATAAAAAACTGAGGGCACAAACATATTAGAAGCCTCACCATGAACTCTTCCACCTTCCTGCTGCTTTTGCACAAAGTCCTTGCCCACATTATAACCCAATGCTCTGATCACTCTGCTCTCCTTACCTCACCCCTGACTGATATATAGCCTAGCTCACATTTTGTTACACCCTGCTCTAAGCTCTACATATTGTCCCATGCTCAAAACTTAGACTTATCCTTCCCTCTTCCTCATCTTCCCTCAGCCCACTACTCCTCCTCATAGCTTATCCTGCTTTCAAACCATGTCCTTAAGATTAGCACAGTCTCTGCTTCATCATGTAAACCTCCCTCAAACTTGTACACCTTCTCCTCCTCAGCCAACCCTCCACACCACCACCTGCACTTGTTTAGCTTCAAGCAGAGGCTCTGCTTGGGAAGAGCTAAATGATGCTGGAACAGCAACTCGTGTTGTACCCACCTTCTTGCCACAGAGAACTGCTACTCCACCATTCTCTACATAAAGCAGGTCACGGACAGGTACATAGAACGATGGCGGCTGGAAATAGATACTGAAACAAGCTCCATTATCAAATGGGTTCCACTTTGCGATACCAGCAATTACCAATAATACCAACACACCTCTGAGCACCTATAACAAGCACCAGAATTCTTTTTTATCTACTTTTAAGAATTAGGGTCTTCACATTGTTGGAGTTCAAGGGTTTCATCAGTAAGGCTTTATTACAAAAACCAAATGCAGTCCAGGGTCCCTGGAGCTCTGCTCTGAACTGTGAGCCTACAGCCTCACTGTATTAACTTATTTCACAGGATTCCTGCCAGGGGTCGTGTGTGTCTCAGGGAATCCCAGCAAGATTCAAGAAGTGCTAAGTTCTGAGCTAACTCTCATGTGCAGCAGCACTGGCTGCACCTTTCAGTCTGCTCCTGACTTGTCTGTAACATCTCAGCATCACTGGGAAGCCACATGGCATCTCAAGGGCTCTTCAAGGTAGTCAGCCAGCTACTCCAGTGCAAAATAACACACACACTCTGCACACAGGACGCAGTGCCCTGTCCCCACTTTGATCAGCCTCGTGACACTGTAGAAAGCAGACAGAGAAATCTACCCAGTGATTTGTCCACGCAGCACTTCAGGGCCCATCATGGCTCTCTCACAAAACCAGCTTGATCATCGTCAGCTTTTCCTTAAGCCCTCTCCCTCATCCTTGCTACCCATCAGTGACACATACCTCCTCTCCTTGCCATTCCACTGTCTGAATCGCAGAGTCTCTGTCACATTGGGATCATCTGAAAACCACAGTTCTTTGGAGAGAGGAGGGCGCATATAGGGCAGGGCAGGGTCTTCGGACACAATCAGCACCTTTAATTGGTCATTAAACACAGCAGTTGTACAGAGGCCAGGCAAATGGCAAAACACACAACAGAAGCTCTGAAGCAAGCACAGTATTCAGTCATCCACACAAGTCTGCTCTGGACATCTCTTACCCGGGCACCAGGGTCACGAGCCCGAATGGATCTGGCAGCAGCAAAGGCAGCAGTTCCTCCACCAATCAGCAGGAAAGGAACGTGAGATGGGACCTCAGGCTGAGCCCCAGGAGCTGCAGGTGACAGATTGGACAGCTTACTGCAAGTTCAGCAGGGAAAACTGCACAGCCCAGTCCTAAAGAACAGTATGCCACCAGATGCTTCTCCCATACAGCCTTCCTTTGGCAAATTGCCCCTCAAATAACCCCCACTCCAAATACTTCCCAAGAACCATGCTGCTGCTTCAAAGCTGGATCCCTGCACAAATCAAAATGTCAGCTTTCAACAAACTACCTTTTCGAAGCCAGATCTGCACAGTTCAGCGGCAGTCACAGAGTTTTGGAACAGTCTTGTAGCACAGCTTTCACTGCAGGGCTTTAGCTCCTCTCTTATAGATCTATTTTTCTCTGGTTTAGGATGCTGAGAACAAGAATGATCTATGTAACAGCTTGAAACATCACTATTTGGAGAGCCTGTTAACAGGTTTGAAGCCTTACTGTGAACCTGTGCTACTTGTTCAGCAGATTCTCGGAGAGCTTCCTGTTATGAATGGATCAGTTTAAGAATGCTGCTTTAATGTGCAGAGCGGGGAGAAGTGGTTGCAAAGTCAAAGACCCACAAAGTCTTTGCGAATTTCCAGCATTCAATACACAATTTCAGAAGCTTCATATAAGATCAGGACATTATCTGTACAGTAGATCCAGGACAGCAAAAACATGCTTGACCTCTATTCTGGCCAAACAATATGCTAGAGAGCCAAGGGTACATGGTGCCTTGTTGAGATAGCAAGAGGGACAAAGCTCAAAAATGAGTCAAAACACCAGGAAAGGAGACATGGCCTGAGTGGTATTCAAACCAGAAAACAACTTTTTAAGTTCTTTGGAAAACCGCAGCTGAAAAGTGTCTGATCCAGCTGCATGTCTTTCTTAACCACAAACCAACTGTAAGCAAGAACAAAACTCTGCACTGGCCATTCAGGGAACAGTCTGTAAGAAAGGAAAGTTCCCTAAAACACCATGTGAATTCTGAAAGGAGACCAGGTTTTGAGTTCCTACCAGGATGTGTTTCCTCCCACATGCAGGTCCTCTCTCTAAGCAACACACAGTTAAACCGTATGCAGGAATAAAAGTTAGTTAAATATTACCATCGAGACTCACCTGCTCTGCCCTGAGCAGCAGCATCTGTATCTGAAAGAGAATACAGCAGCTCAGTTCAGCAAACCACAGGGACACTGCAGGGAAGAAGCTGCAGGTCAGGGCTGATCCAAGGAGGCCACAGGATTCACCAGCTCTCCACTACAAAGGGACAGAGCCTCCACAAACATAGACTTACCAAGACCTCTGCTTCAGCATCTAGGCTGTGTCTGTCCCCCAGCCTCAACCCTAATAAAAATGTTCCATCCTTCAAACCAAAGCAATCAGTTTTCTGTCCTGTCTGCAGGATATTCTTTGTGTGGGTTTCCTAGTAAAGTGACATACCAACTCTCTCTTCTATGGCCTAAAGCCACTGTTATTACTAAATATACAATCCTCTGGCTCAGTGGTTCAGACAGATCTCATAAATTAACAGAGAACTTCCATGAGCAACCTGTGCTCCACATAAAGCCTGCAAAGCATCATAATTGCCCCAATTCCTCCCTCTACATGCAGCTCAAGCAGGCTGCTTCTCACATGCCCAGCCCACTTTACATGGGACAGGAATGTAGCACAGCACAGAGGACTTTGTGCTGGCAGACCACATTATCCCTGTGGAATCACAGTGTCTTTGCCAGGCTGCATAAAGGCAGAAGCCAAAAGCAGGGATAACTCTTTCCTCCTTTTATCACAGAAGGCACAAACAGCAGGAAGGAGCCCTGAGAGACAACCTCATGATTAACTGTAAAGCAAAGCCTTCTTCAAGGCCATGGAAAGCTAGCACCATCTTCTGCGCTGGGAAAACACAGGAATCACAAACAGCAGTGTACACTGAGAATTACAATGCTGCAAAGGCATAAGCATGCAGCTTACATTAATCTGTGTTTTCAGAAGGGATCTGTTCCATTTGTTTTAGAGGTCTCAAGTTAGCAGCTTATGGCAAACAGACCCCAACCCAGAACCATCAGGCTCGTACCCACCAGGAGGAGACGATTCCTTTTCCTGAGACCGCGTAGTTATCGTTGTCACCCGGCTGGTGAATCGCTCTTTGTTTTCTCGCAATGTTTTATATACCTGGAGACAGACAAGGAGATATTTACCTTATGCACCTTAGAGCAACAAAGCACCATGCTGCTTCCCCCCCTCCCTGACAGGCTTTTGTCCATCCTGCTTGCTCAGAAAAGGCATCTGCTGCTTATTAAAGCACATAGACCAAAATACACCTCACTGAAAGGAGTGCCCATAAAAGTACGTGCATATAGCTGCGAGAGGAATGTGCTCAGCAGACAATTTGCTCTACGTATGGTGTGATGAATCTCAATTGTATGGTTGTTTTCCATAAGCAATTGACCTTGCTGCAGACCTGTTTCAAAAGGGACCAGATACCACAATGGCAATGCAGTCAAACCAACTCCAAGGCTGTTTGCAAGCCAGGCCATGGCACAACAAGAAGATAAATTCAAGGCAAAAAGCAGTCCCCAGCTTCAAAAGCAGCTAGGCAGAACAAGCAAACAACCTCACTGGCTTTCTTTAGGCCAGCTGTTACAGCAGTAACATCACCGAGGTTGGCAGTGCCCTTCAGACACAGAGCGTGGCTGCTCTAGGCAACGCCCTCTGGCTGGAAATGCTTCCCAGGTCTGCTGACCTGCTGCCTGCGTGTCTGCTGAACCAGGACACAGTGTGAGCATCCCCTGCATGCCTGGGGACACAGTTTAGTGGCACAGACAAGGAAGGAATGTCCTTTTCTTGCTGACTTCCAAAAAACACTGCTAATCTAGAAAAGCAAAGGACAATGAGACTGCTGTAAGCAGGTCAAACCATATTTGCCCCCACAGTTAACAAATTAGAAGGAAGCAAACAATTTTAAGGCAAAACCTAGCCTTGCTAATAATGCATAAGTGCAGGATGTTAACTTTCATTTTACAGTGTTCATAAAAGAGAAAAATACCTTATCAAGACAGTCTGAAACACAACCACCTATCCACTTACTGTATTCTGAACTGTGACAGAACATCAAAACTGGGACATTTCCAGCAGCAATAAAAGCCTCCTAAATGTGAAGGCATGACTGGTAATGCTGCAGCTGATGCCACTGACTTAGTGCTTGCTAAGCCAGGGTCCTGACATCCAAACTGCATTTGAGCAAAAGTTAATTCCTTTGGGGAACTGGAATCTTTGACTCCCCAGACATTTTGCATCTTACCCATCTCCACAATTAGGTGTTCTATACCACACCAAAGAGTCTCAAACAGGATGAGTAATCTAATGCCAGGCATGAAAAAGATCAGGCAGACAAAAGCATATCCATGGAATGGAAACATGGTCAAAAAACATCAGAAAACAGGAACTTGGTGTTGGTAGAATAAAGATATCTTAAAGCCTTTTGCTTCAGCAGATAAAATTCAACGTTAACAAAACTACCTCTGCCTCTGCAAGCAGAACCATGAAGTTCTCAGCGAGGTGAAGGGCAGCACACAGAAAATGAAGTCTGACCCCTTTGAAAAACCTGACTGTTGTACCCATGCAAAATGTCACATCAGGTCTTCAGGATACCTGTTTTCAAAGGGACAATGCCAAGCTCCTTCTTGCCAGAAACACAGCTATGCGCTGTTAACAGAGCAATAGTTCTGTGCTCTGCTCTGAAGACATCACCCAATTGGACAAGCTTTGTTTCCTTTCCTCGATCATGCTCATATTTAGGTGATTGTTTCCTTTTTTGTAAGCCAACATTACTGGTATCAGAATAGATGTGTTAATTTGTGCCTTTCTGATGGTTACAAATCAAAGGCAGCAGGTTTGGGGTTTAGATTTATTCGATAGGGAAAAGCTAATTCTAAGGCAATTTCTCCTACTAAGAACTACAATTTTGAGACTATCGGGTTTGTAAACTTAAGTTACTTGACAGTGTCCCTTGAAATGAAATATCTGAAGCCACAGAGCACACAGTAAAAGACTAAGTTGGAATGCCACACAGAAAGGTGCCCTCCCTCCCTCCCTCCCCCCTCTCACCCCATTAAATCACATTTATTTCAGTGTCTTACATAAGCTCCTGTCCCAGTGACTGTTCCTCCTACAATTAAGTATAACAAAAGGTTGCTGCCAGCTTTGCCAGGAACACCTGAAGACGTCAGTGATCTAGAAGGGCATCTTAGATGATGACATTGCAAAACTGTAGGCGAAGACAGGCAACAAGAGAGAAGAGAAGGAAAGAGCTGAGTATTAAGGATTCTTGGTTAAACAGAACTTGGGAAGAGCAGAATGTGGTTTGTAATTTCAGTTATCTTGTTTCTCAAACAGGGCAGCAAGGCACAGCAAGGAAGACTGAAAAGGAACAGGAAAAGACCTTTCCTGTGTGCAGTGCAGTGCTGTGAATTGTTTTATTTCCCAGAAGCCTTCTGCATGTGAAGAGTTTCATTAGAAGAAACAAGGACTCAGGACTTTTACCAAATATGATCCTCTACAAGAAGGAATTTTGAAACAAAGATTTGTATGACATGAATTTTGGACCATCCACCCCTTGGTAAGGCTGGTAGGCTTCAGCTGCCTAGGAATGCTATTTACTCTCCAAGCAAAGTTTTACCTTTCTGAATCTTTTGATCAGGACAGAAGTGTATGGCCACCAATTTCGGGTTGATTGGGTGCACTTTCACAAACTGAACACTGATGTTCTGAATTGAGATTTCACAAAGAATGGTTTACTTTGGTATTAAAAACATCTACCATCCAACTCACCCTGAACTACAGGCTAAGAGCACATACAACAGGGAGAGCTTTGGTTTGTCACAGTATGTTAAAAAACTAAAAAAAAAAAAAATAAATGAGTGCCTTCATAGCAAAGAAATCTAAAAGGTAACTGAAATTACAGTTAAAAACCAATTCTCATCAGAAGTTAATCTCCAGCCAGCTTAGTTAGCTCCCCTTGATGTTTTCTGAAGGAAGATATAGCAGCAGAAATAAAAAGCTAAGTAAAGGTATCTGAAATAGAGCAAACGGTTGACAGGAGAGATGTATGGCAGCTTCTTTCCATGAACTACCTTTCTACTTACATAGGCACCCGCTCCTAATGTTGACAAGCCCACAATAAGGGCAAAACCCGAACTAGCGCCGTTGCCACCAGGCACGCTGGAGCCAGCCCCATGCATGCTCCGCTGCCGCTCCACCGGAGCGCTCCAGCGCTGCAGCAACTTGCCTGAGGAACACAGTTCATTAGAGAAAAACACAAACAGACCATCAATACAAGGGCATGGGTTGAAACTGAGAGACCAAGGCATTTCTGAAACCAAAGCAAACAAGGTGCTGCTTTAAAAAGCCCAGCACCACATCTGAGTGACTGCACTCAGTTATTCCCTGCCACAACAAAGGGCTCCAGGCAGCTGTGGACACCAAAACCACCTGCAAGATCAAAGAGTCACTGAGCAAATTAATAGCAGGAACATATACTAGGAAGCTAGGAGTATCTCCTGCTGAAGAAGCCTTCAGGCTACACATTACTGAGAGAAGACATCAGAGATACCCAGGTACTGCACGTTTGCTGCTCTCACGCTCCTCTAAGCCCCCGACTCAAGATGTACTTAGCATCATACAGAACCATAGAATGGTTCGGGTTGGAAAGAGCCTTAAGACAATCCAGTTCCAACCACCTACCATAGGCAGGAGCGCCTCATACCAGATCATGTCTGCCCAAGCCCTGTCCAACCTGGCCTTGAGCACTGCCAGGGATGGGGCAGCCACAGCTTCTCTGGGCACCCTGTGCCAGCGCCTCAGCACCCTCACAGGGAAGAGCTTCTGCCTTGTATCTCACCCGAGCTTCTCCTGTTTGCTTGCTCCACCACACGCAAGCAGAGATGAACATAACCTTGCCAGAATAAGCCGCAGCTACAGTTATCCCAGCAAAAAAATTCCTTTGCCAGCACAGCTCATTCCCCTGAGATGAACCTCCAGCAGAGAGGGGCTTCTGCTGAGAAAAGGGCCTTCCAAATGAAAAGAAGGAGCAATGCTTGCACATTCAGGTGAAGGCAGCCACCGGCACTCAAGACACAGAGTGTGCCTGCACAGCTCTGGCTTTGGATTTCACTGTAACTCAGTTCAGGCTCGCCTGTCCCAGTGAGATCTTTAAGCGGAGCCATCACGGGGATTGCTGGGAGCACTGTGCTGCACAGCAGCTGAAGCTGGCCTAAGTGGCTGGGCTCTTCTGCAGAACGTGCTTCTGCCTCATGCAGAAAACACCTTCCTCCTGCTCTGCCGCCAGCTCCTAGCCCAAACGCACAGCTCTGCGCTGTAACCCTCAAGCGAAACCGCAGGCGCTCGAACAACTCCACCGGGCTCAAGGTTTCCCTTCCCGCTCCTGGTGCACCCGCACCGCATCCGCCGCTGCCTCAACCAAAGCCAGGCCCCGCCGCCAACGGCGCTGCTGAGGAGCCCGTTCCACATTAGCGGTGCCCGGGTGCCCTCTGCCCGGGTAACGGGCGCCCAGAGCCCCCCGGGCGAGCTGCAGAGCTAGAAACCGGGGTTCTACCGCGTGCTGTCCCCGGCAGAGCGGGAGGGAGCTCCGTGCCGAGTGGGCAGCGCCACCACCAGAAGGGAAGCCCCGACCCGCGTGGAGGCGGAAGCCAGCGGCAGGGCCTCCCGCCTACGCCGCTCACGGAACCCCCGCGAAGGCCGCGCCCCGGGCAAGGCCCCCCCAAGCCCTCCCGGTCCCAGCTCACCTGCGGCGGCGCGGCCCCGTGGCGCGGGACTGAGGGGCCGCAGAGCCCGCACCAACCCGCCCGCGCCGCAGCGGAACATGTCTCCGGCGGCCCCGCGCCTGCTCACCGCGCGCCTGCGCCGCCGCCCACTCGCTATTGGCGGCCTCCGCCGCGCCTCCGCCGGCCCTTCCGAGTGGCCCCTCTGCACCGCCGTCTCGTTGGTGGCGCCGCCATGCTGCGCCCGCCCTGCCGCTGCCTCCCGCGGCCGCCCCGCCGCGCCGCCTGCACCGGGCCCGGCCGCCGCCTCCTGCTCTCCACTCCCATCTTCTACGTTAACGGGCCGCCGCACATCGGGCACCTCTACTCCGCACTGCTCGCCGACGCACTGCATCGACACCGCGGCCTCCGCGGCGCCGGCCCGAGCCGCCTCTCCACGGGTGAGTGTGCGCCCGCCGGGCGCCGCGGCTGCCCCGTGCCCGGGACTGACCCGCCTCCCACGGGGCTATTCCCTTTCCCCGTGTCCCCAGGCCCGTGAGGGGTGGTTGCTCCCGCTCCCGCTCTGCAGCACCCCGCTCACTGCCGTTGCAGGGACCGACGAGCACGGGCTGAAGATCCAGCAGGCTGCGGCCGCCGCAGGAACATCACCCCTGGAGCTCTGCGAGCGCGTCTCGGGCCTCTTCCGCCAGGCCTTGGCCCAGGCCGGCGTCTCCTTCACCGACTTCACCCGCACCAGCCAGCCCCGGCACCAGCGAGCTGTGCAGCGCTTTTGGGGAGCCCTCCGGGACGGCGGCGCCCTCTACAAAGGGTCCTACGAGGGCTGGTACTGCACCCCCGAGGAGTGCTTCCTGCCCGAGAGCCAGCTGGCCGAGAGCAGGGACGCGCAGGGGCGCCCCTGCAAGGTGTCGCTGGAGAGCGGCCACCAGGTACCGGCGCCGTCCCGCGCCCACGGACGCTGTGTCCGTGGTGCTTTGCTGTGGCCAAATCTGGGGGTGTTTAATGCTTCCTGCGGCCTTTTGTGCTTCGCATCAGCCGAGGCTTGCCCGTATCTCGCGGAACATCTCCTCTGTGTCTGTAGTGGTGTGTGGTGAGCAGGGAAGCACTGCCAAGACCCCACATTTCAGCCATGGGAAGGATTCAGCTGGGGCTGGCTCTGCAGTCTGCTGGCCTGGACACGGGGCTTGAAGGTGGTGATGGGAGAAGTTTGCTGTGCAGAAGGGTGAAGGTGTTCGGGGGGGGGGTCACACCTGCTTTGCCATTTGGCTTCTAGACAGCTTGTGTCAGTGTTGTTATGTGGGTTTCAGCCCTCCGTAAACCATTGTAACACTACAGGCCTGTGCTCTGGCCTGATGATTGCGCAGTGATGCAGCCAGGAGTGTGGTGCCTTACCTAGAGTCTCTGCCACTGCATTTTCTGGGGTGTCAGGACTTACATGTTTTAATCCAGCAGTTGCAGATAATTGTGTTTCAGAGGTAGGCAGAGGTTATGCTCCTGTGATATTTGTACGAGACCGGGGCACAGGAGTATTGGTTCACACAGAAAGGGGTGTGTAGCACCTAATGTAGTTATGAAAGGGATAAGTTTTCAGCCCAATAAGTCATTCTTTATATCTAAAATAGAGTCAGCAGGCTTCAGAGGCAAATTGAGAACCGTTACCTGCCTTAGCTGCCTGGCAAACTGTCCAAGAGAAACAGTGTGGATGGGGGAGAGAAGGTCTTGCAGGGTGGTGTGAGAGGAGTGGTCAGTTCTGTAACACGATGAGAGGCTAACAAAGTTAGCAGCTGAGATGCACAAATGCTTAAACTGGGGGAAAAGAGGAAAGTAGCGCTCAAGAGAAGGGCAAAGCATGTGCCAGGGGTGTTCCTGAGCAGTAATTAACTATGTTATGTTGCCTTCTCATGATTTTTATTGCATAACTATGCTTGTAATTCTTGCCTAATGAAAGCAGAATACCTTCCTGGCAGGCAGGAAGGTATGCAGGTATTCCTTCCCTGGGGGCATGAGCACCTTCAAAAGTTGCTGCTGAGCCATCCCAAGTGCCTGAGGCCTCAGGGGGTGTCTGGGGAGAGCAGGTTCTTGCTGGTCATAGAAAGCTGCTGGGGGTTCACGTGTACTGGGGAGCACACCCGAAGGCAGAGGGAACGTGGGACAGCCGCTTGCTGAGAACGCTGCCTGCAAATTGGGAAGCTGTTTGTGGCACGTTTCCACTGTCATTCTTTCTGCTCCTGCCTTCCCAGGTGCACTGGACCAAAGAGGAGAATTACATGTTCAGGCTGTCAGCGTTCCGGGATCCTCTGTGGAAGTGGCTCCGGGAGAACCCACACGCCATCTCCCCCGACCCTTTCTACCAGCGCGTGCTGCGCTGGTTGGAAGAGGACTTGCCGGACTTGTCGGTCTCTCGGGAGAGCAGCCGGCTGCAGTGGGGTATCCCTGTCCCTGGTGACCCAACACAAACTATTTACGTGTGGGTAGATGCCCTGGTGAACTACCTGAGCGTGGTGGGCTACCCCACAGCACATGGGGAGTGGTGGCCAGCGGCACACCACATTGTGGGCAAGGACATTCTCAAGTTCCACGCTGTTTACTGGCCAGCTCTGCTGATGGCAGTGGGGCTGCAGCCCCCTGAGCAGATCCTTGTGCACTCCCACTGGACTGTCCGCGGGCAGAAGATGTCCAAAAGCCTGGGCAACGTGGTTGACCCATTCTCCTGTATGGAACAGTACACTGTGGATGGGTTTCGGTACTTCCTGCTAAGGCAGGGCGTGCCTGAGCGGGACTGTGACTACTACCATGAGAAGGTACTTAAGGTGGTGAACTCAGAACTGGCAGATGCACTTGGGGGGCTTCTGAATCGGTCCACAGCCCTCAGCATTAACCCCAGCAACACCTACCCTTGTTTCTCAGAGTCTTGTTTTCCAAAGGTCTCGGATTCCAGGGAGGCAACAGGCACAGGTAGAGTTTCTGCTGAAGACTATGCGCTCCTGACATCCGTGGCTTCTCTGCCTCTGCAGGTGGCTGGTTACTTTGAGAGTTTCCAGATCTACAAGGCTTTAGAATGTATCACCCTGTGTGTAAGGCAGACCAACAGTTTCTTCCAGAGGCACAGGCCGTGGAAACTTGACCGGAAAGACCCTGCTGAGCAGCTCTGGCTTGACACCATCATCCACGTCACTCTGGAATGCCTGCGCATCTTTGGGACTCTGCTGCAGCCTGTGATCCCACACACTGCGGACAAGCTGCTGTCCAGGCTGGCTGTTGAGCCACAAGAGAGAGCTCTCTCCAGTTTGACGTTTCTACCTCGCTACAGTGGGAAGCCATGTCCCTTTGAGGGGAGGCAGCTTGGACCCGATACTGGTGTCTTATTTCACAGACTAGAGAAGTCAAGGGAGCATCAGAGAGAAACCGAGAGGCCGTAGTCCCTGGCACAGAGCTCCTGCAAATAAAAGCCTCCGGGAATTCTGGAGAACGTTGTCTTCCTTAAGAGCACGTTCCTCCCATCTCTTGGAGGGGTATGAAGCGGGTGAGGGGAAACCAGGGCTGTGCTGCGCTGCCCAGGCGGCCGGCTCAGGCCTCTGCCCGCCACGGGAGGGCGGGTGATCGGTAGTGTGAGCAGCTCAGGGCTAGAGGAGGGCCGCCCGGGAGCGAACACCGGCGCGGCGCGGCCCGGCCCCGGGCCTGGCGGGGTTGTGGTGTGCCAGATATGGCATGGGGGGTGGAGCCCTGCCATACACGGTACGAGGGGGCGGGACGGCGATGTGCCGTACATGGTGTGGGGGGCGGTGCCGTGCTGTGCCGTGCCCGGTACGCGGGGAGGGGAGGGGCCTTGCCGGTGCCGTAGCCGGTGCGTGGGGTCGTGCTTTGCCGTAGCCGCTGCGTGGGGCGGGGCGGGGCGGCACCGTGCCGTGCCAGTGCGTGGGGCCGAGCTGTTCCGCAGCCGGTGCGTAGGGCGGCGCGGCCCCATGAGACGGTGAAGCGGAGGCGCGGGATGGCGGCGGGGGTCGGCGGGCGGCCGCCGGGCCCCGACTCCTCTCTGGAGCCGTACGTGCAGACCCGCATCTTCAAGATCATTGTGATCGGAGACTCGAACGTGGGCAAGACGTGCCTGACCTTCCGGTTCTGCGGGGGCACCTTCCCCGGGCAGACCGAGGCCACCATCGGTGTGGACTTCCGCGAGAAGACGGTGGAGATCGAGGGGGAGCGCATCAAGGTGGGCAGGGCAGCGCCGGCCGGTCCCTACCCCGTCCCCTTCCCCATCACTTGCCCTATCCCTTGTCCTGGTCCCTGTCCTAGGTTCTGAACCTTTTCCATCCCCAGCCAAGCTCGAGGGAGTGGAGCAGGGATGGTTTCTCCTCCCCGTGCTGCAGAGATGCTTTCCGAGCCCATCTCTGTTGCCTTGTCACTGCCTGTGGGGTTTGCTTGAGCTGGCAGCTCAAGACGATGGCTCAGGGTGCACCGCGGCCGTCTTGCCCTCCGGCCCCAGAGTGCCCTGAGAGGAGTTCTGCCACGGGAGAGATGGGGCCGAGGATGAGCTGTGCAGAAACCAGTGTGGTTTCAGGAGCAGATGGCTGTGGGCTGCCAGGCCAGGAGCATGCAGGAGCTGGGTGCAGTGGGCTCCGCAGCTGCGGTATTAATGCTGAAGGCGGCTCTTGGCGAGCACAGGGAGGGTGTCATCTCAGCAGCATTAGAATAGGCTGAATTCATGGAATCCCAGCCTGGTTTGGTTGGCAGGGGCCTTAAAGTTCATCCAGCTCCAGCCACGGGCAGGTACACCTTCCACTAGACCAGATTGCTCCAAGCCTCATCCAACCTGGAGGCGCATCCTTCACCTGCTGTTGATGCTTTGTGTAGTTCAGCCAAGGGTACCACTCACTGCCTTCATTGCTCAGGCACGCTGCTGGCTCACGTCCAACCTGGTGTCCAGCAGGACCCCCAAGTCCTGTCCTGCAATGCCACTTCCAAGCTGGGTGCTCCCCAGCATGTCCTGGGGCCTGGAGTTGTTCTTCCCCAGGACAGGACTTGGCACTCCTCTGTTGAACTTCTTGAGGGTGCTGTTAGTGCATTTCTCCAGGCTGTTGAGGTTCCTCTAGACAGCAGCATGACCATCTCTCCTCTTAGCCATGCAGAGCTCATGCCGTCCTGCTGGTCTCACACAAAAGGTGGTTCCCCATCCTCATCTTTGCCCTAACTCCTCTGTACAGACCTCAGTGTAATTGTTGGGGTTCTCTTTAATGGCGTAAGGTTAGGTGGAAGAATGTCCTGATTTGGCACAAGAATGTTTGTGAGGTGAGAAGTACTTTGTGCAATTTTTCTGTGGCGGGGACGATGGCCAGGTGTATCGGGGAAAGGCTGAGAGGCAGGGAGCAGTGCTTCCTGAATCATAGAATCCCAGACTGGTTTGGGCTGGGACGGACCTTAAAGCTCTTCCAGCTCCAACCCCTGTCATGGGCAGGGACACCTTCCACTGGAGCAGCTTACTCCAAGCCCCTGTGTCCAACCCAGCCTTGAACACTGCCAGGGATGGGGCAGCCACAGCTTCTCTGGGCACCCTGTGCCAGCGCCTCAGCACCCTCACAGGGAAGAGCTTCTGCCTAAGAGCTCAGCTCAGTCTCCCCTCTGGCAGGTTCAAGCCATTCCCCTTGGCCTGTCCCTACAGGACCTTGTAAATGGAAGTGCTGAGGGATCTCTCTCTTACATGAGCTGTGCTTGCTTGGTGGAATTACGTAAGCATGTTCCCTGTCACATACAGCCTTGGGCACTGCCAGTGTAGGACAAAAGCTTGTGTAACTCATCCACTGATCCTGGTTCATGTAGTAAGAAACTGCCTCTCCCTGCAAGACTCATTGCCTGCACTTCCTCAGGCTGAGGTGCTGTGGTTGGAAGGGCTGGTGGCAAGCAATCCCACATCTTCCTGCAGGGAGCCTGGTGAGCAGCCTGCCTGAGGGCGACACGCAGTGCTCCTGCAGCCTTCCTTCTCTTCTGCTTTGCTTCCCAGGTGCAAGTGTGGGACACAGCTGGCCAGGAGAGGTTTCGGAAGAGCATGGTGGAGCACTACTACCGCAACGTGCATGCTGTCGTCTTTGTTTACGATGTCACGAAGATGTCCTCCTTCACCAACCTCAAGACATGGATTGAGGAGTGCAACGGGCATGCGGTGTCCCCCACTGTCCCTAGGGTGCTCGTTGGCAACAAGTGTGACTTGAAAGACCTGATCCAAGTGCCATCCAGCATGGCCCTCAAATTCGCCGATGCTCACAATATGCTTTTGTTTGAGACCTCGGCCAAGGACCCTAAGGAGAGCCAGAACGTGGATGCGATCTTCATGTGCCTGGCCTGCCGGCTGAAGGCGCAGCGCTCGCCGCCCTGCCGGGACCTGGAGGGCTGGTCGGGCCAGGCCCGCAGGCTGGAGCCAGCGCACACCACCAGCAGTAAAACCTCCTGCCCGTGCTGAGCGGGACCGGCGGCACGGCCCCGGCCCCGGTCCCCTTTCATCCCAATAAAGTCTCTGAGGCTCCAGACAGCTCTGGGTCTTGCTTTGCGCGGCTCGGCAGCGCTCGGGCCCGGCTCGGCTGTGCTCGGCTTCGCTCGGGCCTGGTTCAGCTGCGCTCGGCTCCGGCTCGGCTCTGCGCGCATGCGCAGTGTGCGGCGCCGCTGCCATGAAGTAGGTGTGCGGGGCGCGGAGGAAGGGGGGGGGGAAAGGTGCGCGGCCCGGTCCCGGTCCCCGTCCCGGTCCCCGTGCTGGAGCTGAATGTGCCCCCCCGCCTCCAGCCCCCTGACGAAGGTGAAGCTGATCAACGAGCTAAACGCGCGGGAGGCGGAGCTGGGCGTGCAGGAGGCGGTCTCGTGGCACGCGGAGTACAAGGACAGCGCCTGGATCTTCATCGGTACGGCCGGGGAGGGCCGGGGCTGGGGGGTCCGGGGCAGCGCCTACGCAGTGCCCGTGCCCCGTTCCTCCTTGCCTGTCTCTCCCCGCAGGCGGGCTGCACTACGAGCTGACAGAGGGCGATGTCATCTGCGTGTTCTCGCAGTAAGTGCCGCAGCCCCCAGGCCCGCCGCGCCCCTGCCGCTGCCTCGGGTGCTCAGGAGTGTGTTGCAGGTACGGGGAGGTCGTCAACATCAACCTGGTGAGGGACAAGAAGACCGGAAAGTCCAAAGGTTTCTGCTTTCTGTGCTATGAGGACCAGAGGAGCACCATACTAGCTGTTGATAACTTCAATGGGATCAAGGTGAGGGAGCAGCCTGGGAGGCAGGTCTGTCTGTCTGTCTGTCACCCTCATGTGGCTCCTATAATGCTGCCTCACATCAGCCAGAAGCCCTGGCCACCCACAGCATGTGGGGAGCTGGGCTGTGCCCTCGCTAACAGCAGGACTCCCCTTGTAGATCAAAGGAAGGACAATTCGAGTGGACCATGTGGCCAACTATCGGCCTCCCCAGGACTCTGATGACTTGGACGATGTTACAAAAACCCTCCATGCAAAGGGTTGTGGAGTTAAAACGCCACCTCATACATCCTCTGATTCCCTGTCAGAAGATGATGATGTGCCTGTAAAAAAGCCAAAAGGTGAGGTTTGCTCCTGCAGCCCTGACCCCCAGTGAGAGCCTCTGCACAGAGCCCTTGGCCTTGAGAGGGCTCTTTCCTCAGGGAAGCACCGAGGGTGGGTGGACTCTTAAAAAGAGCAGGGGGGAGCTGTGCTTTGGGAAGCATGGAGAGGGAAGGCTTAGGAAGAGCACCACTTCACATCTGGATGCTGTTGCTGTATGACTGGAGTGCTGCAGGTGTATGGGATGGCCATTGTGGCCTGTGTGAGACAACCAAATTGAACAGAACATAAAGCAGCAGATCTGGAGAAGCTTCTGTGGCTAGAAGCTGAAGTCAAAGGCAGGGGGATTGTGGACTGGGTGGACTTTGAAGGTTCTTTCTAGCCCCAAGTGCACCTAAAAATGCAGCACAAGGTAAATCCAACTGAGCGCCTGAATACCTCCTGTTCTTAGGGGCTGCATCAGGATTTGTTGTGAGATGTAGAGTACATCCACAGTGACTTGGACAAATGTGAAGGACCAGCCTATGCAGCTGCAGTGATGGATTTTTAGCAGCTGTTGGGTTTATTTTTGATCCATGCAGCAGAGATCTTGGAAAAGTTACCCTAGCTGGGGCAAGCAGGGTGCCAGAAGCAGGGACTTGTAGAAGGAGCTGCTTAATGTGGCTTGCTAATGACTATTGGGCAGCATGCACCTGTGATTACAGCAAGGACACAACCTGGTGAGCACTAAAGAAGGAATTAGGATGGCTGAGGCTGGAGGAGAGAAGCATTAAGGTTGGAAGTGGAATGTATAGCTTGGAGGGGGAGAGCTTAAATGGGAGGGAGCTGAAGAGTCAGGGTGGTGCCTGTGGGACTGTCCATCCCAGACACAAACCGTGTATTGCAGAGAGGAGTAGAGAGGAGCGGCCGCAGGTGAGCTCCCAGCCTGGGAAGAGAGCGGTGTCCGTGGAGGAGGCACCTCCCAGGATCAAGATTAAGAAGGAGAAGGAGGACCCGGCCTACGAGCGCTACGCCAGCGGGAGCCAGCAGCCCGGGAGGGGCTCCGAGAGGAAGCCTGCAAGCAGGACACAGCGGGAAGAGGAGGAGCGGAGGCACCAGAGGCCCCTGGAGAGGAGAGGGGAGAGGAGCTGCCAGGAGCAGCGGGGCCAAGGCGGGTTGTGGGAAGGCAGGCGGGAGGAGGCCGGCAGGAGGGGTGAGTGTTTCAGCAGCCGCCGAGGAGAGTGTCCCGAGGGTGGCCGGGCCCGGGAGCGCAGCCCCCGGGAGCTCTGGCACCGGGAGCGCAGCTCCACCAGGGGCTCCAGCCGCTGCTGACACCCCAGAACCTGCTTGGAGCCTCCCCAGGGACCTCCATCCACTTCTACTTGGGTCCCTGTTCCCTCCTGGCCAGGGCTCTCCTCACCACTGGTGTGGACCAGGACATTCCTTAGTTGCTGTCTCTGGCCCTTCCTGCAGCCATAGACTCTCATCAGGATGCTGCACTGCGTTGTGGAGGTGGTCACTGGGAGCAGCATCATCCTCCCATTCCCAAAATACCTGGGTCCATAGGGGTGTCCCCCTTGTGCACTGCTGGTAGAGACTGGCTGGTACCTTGTTGGCCTCATATGCCAGGACTGGGTCCAGCATTGCCCAGCACCATGCCTGGATCCTGTGCTGCATCCCCAGGGCTGCACTGCTGCAGTGGAGCTGTTTACTGTTGGTTTGCATTTTGGTTTAAATGACTTTTATTAAAATGCTACCTGTTAACTCAGCGGTCACCTTGAAACAGCATTTGTTTCCTGGTGTCATGGGTGGGAGATGCTGACATGGTGTGCAGTGATGGGGGGATGTGCATAAAATCAGTGTGCTTTGGGTTAAAGGGACCTTAAAGCTCCTCCAGTTCCAACCCCTGCCACAGGTAGGGACCCCTTCCACTGGAGCAGCTTGCTCCAAGCCCCTGTGTCCAACCTGGCCTTGAGCACTGCCAGGGATGGGGCAGCCACAGCTTCTCTGGGCACCCTGTGCCAGCGCCTCAGCACCCTCACAGGGAAGAGCTTCTGCCTAAGAGCTCAGCTCAGTCTCCCCTCGGGCAGGTTCAAGCCATTCCCCTTGGCCTGTCCCTACAGGCCCTTGTCCCAAGCCCCTCTCCAGGTTCCCTGCAGCCCCTTTAGGCACTGGAGCTGCTCTAAGGTCTCCCCTTCAGGAGCCTTCTCCAGGCTGCCCCAGCCCAGCTCTCTCAGCCTGGCTTCGCAGCGGGGGGGTTTGTACCCGCAATTCGTTGGTACCAGAAATAACCGCTCCCACCGCATGGCTGCGCGCCGGGGGAGCGGAGCGGAGCGGAGCGGATGGAGCTTAGCGCCGCCCGCGCTTCCGGATCCGGTGGCCCCGCGCTCCGCCCGCGCCGCCGCGCTCCGCCATGCCATGTCCGCGCTGAGCTGGAAACCCTTCGTGTACGGCGGGCTCGCCTCTATCGTGGCCGAGTTCGGTGAGGCGGGGGCCGGGCCGGGGAGGGCCGGAGCGGGCGGGCGGGGGGGCGGCGGCCGCTGACAGGCGCTGTCCCCGCAGGCACGTTCCCTGTGGACCTCACCAAGACGCGCCTGCAGGTGCAGGGCCAGAGCGCCGATGCGCGGTTCCGCGAGGTCCGGTACCGCGGCATGTTCCACGCCCTCTTCCGCATCTGCCGGGAGGAGGGCGGCCGCGCTCTCTACTCAGGGTAAGCACCGGGGAGCAGGAGCCGCCGGACCGGGAAGCCCGCACCCGCCCGGGGAACGTCCTTCCGGACCCGGGAATCCCGCCCGGTCCGGGTCCATCCCGGCCCAACCCTGTGCCTGTTCTGCCTCTCCCGCTCCGGGACCCCCGCCTGCCCCGGCCCCCCCATCCCACTTCGGGAATCCCCTTTCATCCCGGTTTGGGTCCCCGCTGCCCATCCCAAGGCCATGCAGCGGTGCTGCTGTGCATCCTGGAGACTCCCGGTATCCCCGAGATACAGAATAGGGAATTGTAGGCCAAGGCCAAGGCTCCCGTGGGTGCTGGGCTCCCGTGCTGTAGGTGTGGGAGGAGGGAGGCATCTGAGGTGCTTCCAGGCCAGCCAGAGTTATCCTGTGTTCCCTGGCCTGCTGCGCTGCTTGGGGGGGGGTGGTGTTTGACCCGGGGCAAGGCTGTGCCTGGCCTAGGCTGTGCCCCTTGGTGGTGATGGGGAGTGCTCCGTGCTGGGCCCGCAGGGAGAACCAGCCCATGGCAGGGCTCAGTGTGTTGTCTGTGCCCCCAGGATCGCCCCTGCCCTGCTAAGACAGGCATCCTACGGCACCATAAAGATCGGCATCTACCAGAGCTTGAAGCGGCTCTTTGTGGATCGCATGGAAGGTTGGTGTGGGTGAGCGTGGCACCTTCGGCCTCACCAGGGTGCCCTGCGAGGTCTTGTACTCTCTGTGCAGTCGAGTTTTCCTCATTCCTTTCTCTGCCCTTCCTAGCTATGGTTCCCACAGGAACAGAATTGTTGCTACTGTGTTGTCACTGTGTGCTGTGGTTGTGTTTGTGGGGTAATAGCCAGGATGGGCTTCCACACAGGCAGGAATCGGGGTGTGCTTGGTGCTGCCTGCAGCCCCAGCCAGCCCCCTCCCTGCCCCCTCCCCTTCCCCCCAGCTCTTTCCTTGCCCCTGCTTTGCAAAGCCAAACCCAAAGGTATTATGGTCCCAGGCTCATCTCTTTTAGGTTTAGTTTCGGGGAAGGCATACAGCCATCTGTACATCAGGTTGTTACGTGGGTTGAAAGCTCCAGCAGCCAGTCCCTGCGATTTTCCTGCTGGAGCCTTTGAGCCCATGTGCCTGAATGTGGCACATCCAGACAGAAGTTGTACTGTCCGGCTCTGTAGCCATGGCTCCAGCTGGGATACAGCCAATGCTCCTGACCTGTTCACCTCTGGGAATGGGGTGTTGGCTCCCACCAAGAGCAGAGCAGCAGGAGCCTGGTACATGTTCACTGAAGGAGCATCACGATGTGCATGTGCACTTTTAATCCCTGGTGTGACATGGGTGAATGCTCTCATAGAATCATAGAATAGTTAGGGTTGGAAAGGACCTTAAGATCATCCAGTTCCAATGCCCCTGCCATGGGCAGGAACACCTCCCACTAAACCATGGCACCCAAGGCTCTGTCCAGCCTGGCCTTGAATGGGCAACCCATTCCAGTGCCTCACCACCCTAACAGTAAATAATGTCTTCCTTATATCCAATCTAAACTTCCCCTGTTTAAGTTTTAACCCATTACCCCTTGTCCTATCACTACAGTCCCTAATGAAGAGTCCATCCCCAGCATCCCTATAGGCCCCCTTCAGATACTGGAAGGCTGCTCTGAGGTCTCCACGCAGCCTTCTCTTCTCCAGGCTGAACAGCCCCAACTTTCTCAGCCTATCTTCATATGGGAGGTGCTCCAGTCCCCTGATCATTCTCGTGGCCTCCTCTGGACTTGTTCCAACAGTTCCATGTCTTTTTTTATGTTGAGGACACCAGAACTGCACACAATACTCCAAGTGAGGTCTCACGAGAGCAGAGCAGAGGGGCAGGATCACCTCCTTTGACCTGCTGGTCACACTGCTTTTGATGCAGCCCAGGATACGGTTGCTTTCTGGGCTGCAAGCGCACACTGAAGCCGGCTCATGTTCATTTTCTCATCAACCAGCACCCCCAAGTCCTTCTCTGCAGGGCTGCTCTGAATCTCTTCTCTGCCCACTGTAGCTGTGCCTGGGATTGCTCCGACCCAGGTGTAGGACCTTGCACTTGGCATGGTTAAACTTCATGAGGTTGGCATCAGGCCACCTCACAAGCGTGTCAAGGTCCCTCTGGATGGCATTCCTTCCCTCCAGCGCATCAACCCAACCACACAGCTTGGTGTCATCGGCAAACTTGCTGAGGGTGCATCAATCCCACTGTCCATGTCACCAACAAAGGTGTTGAACAAGACCGGTCCCAACACCAATCCCTGAGGGACACCACTCGTAACTGGTCTCCAGCCGGACATTGAGCCATTGACCACAACTCTTTGTGCGCGTCCCTCCAGCCAGTTCTTTATCCACTGAGTGGTCCATCCATCAAATAGATGTCTATCCAATTTAGAGACAAGGATGTCATGTGGGACAGTGTCGAACGCTTTACACAAGTCCAGGTAGATGACACCAACTGCTCTACCGCTGTGTATCAGTTCCATAGCCCCATCATAGAAGGCCACCAAATTGGTCAGGCAGGATTTCCCCTTAGTGAAGCCATGCTGGCTGTCAGCAAGCACCTTGTTGTTTTTCATGTGCCTTAGCATGCCTTCCAGGAGAATCTGCTCCAAGATTTTGCCAGGCACAGGGGTGAGACTGACTGGTCTGTAATTCCCCTGTCACACCATTCCAGCCCAGGAAGGGGTGCTCGGGCCGGTCGGCAGCACAGTGAGGACCAGGAGCCCACTGCTCTGCACTGCTGCCTCCCCTGTGCATGGTGCTGTGCCTGTGCAGCACCATGTGCCTCCTCGCTGCCTGTGGCAGGGCTCCACCTGTGAGTACCCTTCTCTGAATGTTTGTCTCCCTGCAGGCCTGGGGCAGACAGTGGCCTGGTCTCCTCTGGGAAGTGCAGTGGTCAGTACCAGCAAAGGGTTGTGCCTTTTCTCAACATAACCAACACCCTAATACTGGGCCTGGAAGTCTTGGATTGTTCCCCCTGGAACTAATCACTTCTAACTCTCTGCCTGGGTGCCTGCTCTCGGTTCTCTTGAGGTGACTGCATAGTCTGAGCGTGGCCAACTAGGGCCCCAGATAAACCAATTGGCATCAGGTTGCCTTGAGAAGCATTGGGCTGCCCCTCTCTGTCTCCCTCTGCCTTGGCTTGAATCCATCATGATGCCATCGCTGCATCTCAGATAATTGTCCAAAACGTCCATGTCCCTCAGACTGTTCTTTGTCTGATGAGCTGGATCCACCAGTAAGACCCGCTTCTCCCTGAGCGTGTTGCTGAGTGTTCCAGCTGCTCTTTCCAACTCTGCCAGGCGTGGGGACAGATCTGCTGTGAGCTGGTGGCACTGGCCAGCCTCTGCTTGTGCACCTTTACCGTGTGATTTGTGAGCTGAGCTCCTCTGCTGTTCCCAGTTTCTTGCTTGCTCAATGCAATCCATGCACCTTCCCTTCAGCTCTTCAGGATCTGACTTTCTTTTCTTGGTTGCAGATGAAACGTTGCTGATCAATGTCATCTGTGGGGTGGTTTCAGGGGTGATCTCCTCTGCGCTTGCCAACCCGACAGATGTGCTAAAGGTAGGAACGTGTCTGGAGAGAACTCCTGCTGGGTTCTGGTTTGACATGTGGAAGGTGCTGCTCTCCGGTGCAGGGAGGTGCTGTCTGCTGGCAGCAGCTCTGCTTATCTGGGGCCTTATTGATGGGGGCAGAAGCAATAAACAGACTTAAGAATGGTGATGAGGTGGAGGCTGTTGCTGTTCCCGTGCCCTGCAGGGAGGGCACATGTGGGGAGTGGTGTCTGCTCCGAGCTGTTCTTCCCATCACTGAGCTGGTGTATCTCATGTTTCTTTCAGATCCGAATGCAGGCTCAAGGCAGTTTATTCCAGGGGGGCATGATTGGCAGCTTCATTGACATCTACCAGCAGGAGGGTACCCGAGGCCTCTGGAGGGTGAGTGCTGGCTGTGGAACCCCCTCCACTAGTATCAGAACTAGCAGCTTCCTCAGCTCACTACTCTTGGGTGCAGCTGTCAAGGAGAACTATGAACCAAGGGGAGTAGCAGAGTTACAAGCAGAAGCAGAGCTGTGGTGGGGATGGGGCCTGTGCCACAGCAGCTTCAGTGCTGGGCCAGGCAGACCTGGTTTCCAGGGCTGAAATGTGTCTGTGAAGTTTCAGGTACAGGCAGCAGTCAAATTTCTCCCTCTTACTGTCCCTGAAGTCCTTTACAGAAGGTACCTGTGTGGGAAGGGGAGGAGGAATCAGTCAGCTGCCAGGGTTGACTCAGTATTTACTTTGAGATTATTTCTCCTCTCTAGACACAGACACCAGAGAGGGGAAGAGAGACTGGAAAAAATCTGAGACCCTCGATGTTGCTGATGTTTGCTGCAGACAGGACACGGTGCAGAGACAGATCAGTCTTGAGGTGGATTCCAGTGATCAAGCTAGTCATGCTGCTCTCTGGTGTGGGACAACCACTGTCTCCTCTCTCCAGTCTCCTCTCACGCTGAGGCAGAGATGTTTGTGCTCAAAAGCTCTGGCATCACCATGTGGGGAGTTTTGAGCTGGCTGTGCCAGGGCTGGGTTAGGCAGGAGCCCAGGAGGAGACTGTCAGGCACTGCATTAGCACAGCAGGAGCCAGACACCTGAGAAGTACTTTTACTTCTTGCAGCAGCTTTGGGTTTGTGTGGTGAGAAAGGTGCCTGTCCCGCTGGCTCATACACAGCTCAGCCACAAGGGAGGGTTCCTCCAGTCCCAGTGACCAGGAGCTTTCTCATGGGTCTCTGGGTTACTTGGATGGCATTAGTCCCTGTGAAATGGCCCAACTCCACACTGGCACCATGTTCTCCATGTTCTGCAAGCTCATAGACATTTGCACATCTCGTTCCTGGTGAGGGGCTGCTGGGCTGGCTCTCAGATAGAAGGTGGCTGGTTCCTCTTGCCTAAGCCTTGTAGTTGTTGCAGTAATTGTCTTGCCAGTTCCAGATCAATGCCCTGCTGGCAGCAACTCTTCATACATGAAAATCTCCTAAGTCAGAAGCTTTCACAAAGCTGTTCTGTAGCAAGGAGGAGCTGGAGCCCCACCTGTCTCCTTAAAGAGTTGCTCCCCTTGGGGTGCAGGATGTTTCCTGGTGTTAAAATGGGTGGGTGCTGTTCGGTGGGGAAGATGAGTGGATTTTAGCCTGATTCCTGCATGCTCATGGCTGGGAGGAGGGCAGCAGCGAGTAGTTCATCTGCCTGCAGTAACGCAGCTAGAGGCAAGGAGTCCCCCTGAGCTCTGGAGTAAAGCTGGGAGATGGCAAGCTTGACCTCAGAGCTCCAGCTGCGAGGCAGGGCAGCAAAAGGTCCCTGAGAGGAAAGGGGGATTTGTTAGAGTAGCTGCAGCCTCCAGCTCTGTCTGTACTGGTGCTTGTGCTCTGCAGGGTGTTGTCCCAACAGCTCAGAGAGCTGCCATTGTGGTTGGCGTGGAGCTGCCAGTCTACGACATCACCAAGAAGCACTTAATCCTGTCGGGCCTGATGGGTGACACCATCTTTGCCCACTTCGTGTGAGTATTTCCTGCTTCACTCTTCAGGCTTGACAGGGGTGTGGGAAGCAGAGGAGCAAGGTGGGATTAGGGCTGAGACCTGTTCCTAGAGCCGGTGCTCTGAGCTGCAGAGAGCAGGCTTGGTGCTTCAGAGGGATCGGCTGTGTTGACTGGAGCAGCTCAGTATTAGCAGGTATTCCCAGGGAAACCTCCCTGGAGAAGGAGCCAGGCAGAAATCATGGAATGTCAGGGTGATGTCAGCTCACTGATGTCAGCCACAAACGCTGTTGCTCCATGTGTGTGCCCTGGTATGAGCAAGGCAGGAGCTGCAGATGTGTGACTGTGTGTATCAGTCACCTGAAACAACTGCTTTAGCCTGAGGTCCTCACCTGAACCGGGGCTGTCAGCTTGCAGGCGTTGCTCTAAAAGCAATGAGGTAAAGAGAGACTTGCAAAGCTGATGAGGCCCTGAGCTTGAGCCAGGTTTGAAGTCAGCCTGCTCTGAGCAGGGGATGGGTTAGAGACCTCCCGGAGGCTTTGTTCCACCTACATTTTCCTGTTCTTCTGGCAGACGCTTTAGTTGAGGTGCTGCAGTGCTCCTGTCAGGTTTGCCTCCTATGGGCTGAAGGTAATGAGCACTGCACCGTATGTAGAGGGAGGGGACTTGCAGCTGCATGCTCCCTCTTGCTGCTGCCTTTGGCCTTCCTTCCCCACCCTGAAGAAGTGTTTGCTGTGGTGAGCAGGATGTGTGCTGCTGAGAGGCCGCCTTCAGGTCTGTGTTGCCTTGATGGCACCCGGAGGCACTTGCTGGGCTGCAGTCTACCCTCTGGAGACCAGCAATGGGCTCTGACAAGGGTCTACATAAGACAAAGCTGAGCATTTCCCTTCCCCTGGAGTGTCTCTCTGGGCTCCTGAGGTTCTCTGCCTGCTTCCTGGGTGGGAACAGGTAGTGCAGCCAATGTCTATTGCAAAGTGCCTGTCATAAAATGCAATGAAAGTTGTTCTCCTGTGCTGCTGTCCTGCATGAGCCAAGAGCAGTGTGCTTGGAGCTGTTCCTGTCTCTGTTCTGCTGTGTCTACAGTTCCAGTTTCACCTGTGGGCTGGCTGGTGCCATTGCCTCCAACCCCGTGGACGTTGTGCGGACGCGGATGATGAACCAGCGGGCGATTGTGGGCAACACAGAGCTCTATAAGGGCACCCTGGATGGGCTGGTGAAGGTACGGAGGTGCCCGAGGTGGGCAGATCCTGTCCTCAGGAGCCTGGGCAGCTCCCAGTGCCACACACGCTGGTGGCAGCAGTTAGATTGGGCAGGGACAGGACGTGCTCAGTAGTGAGCGCTTTGGACAAACCAGGCCCAGAGTCACCTCCCTGAGGTCTTTTGAGCCTACTCCCAACCTCCTGGGACAGAACTCTGTCAGTGATGTGGTTTGGTTAGGTTCATATGCTGACACAACAGTATCCCCACTGTTGTCTGCTTACTGCAGCATTTGTAAGGGCCCATTGTATGCCACGTGGCATTAGGGAGATGGGCAGAGCATGGATCTGGTGTGTTTCATAACTCATCTGTCTCTTTTCTCCTCCTAGACATGGAAGAGTGAGGGCTTCTTTGCACTCTACAAAGGTTTCTGGCCCAACTGGCTTCGGCTTGGTCCCTGGAACATCATTGTATCCTTCAGCGTGCTGCTGGGAGGTTGTGGTGTGGACAGGGAGAGAAGAACTGAGCTGTCAAGGGGAATGTAGAGCAAACACCCCAATGGGGCACTTTGTTGTCTTCCTTGTAGCATCCCAGGGTGGCTTCCCTGTCCCCTTTGACAGATGTAAGCTGTGAGGTGGCTGCTGCTGGTTCAAATGCCAGAGTGCCCCTGGTGTGACTGCGGATGCTGTGGCCAGTGCAGGGACTTGAGGGCAGCAGCACAGTGGTTCCCTCTGGACTGGGTGTTCATGAGTGTGCAGCTCAGGACTCCCTTTGCCTGAGCTCCTGAAGATGCTGTGGCTGCTGGATCAGCTTCTGTTCTTGAGAAAAGCTTGGGAACGTTCTGCTGCTCCCAGATGGGTGCTGCAGAACCAGCATGAGCTCTTCTTGCCCTTTGAAATTGTATGTGTCATTTAAGGAAACCTGGGGCTAGAGCCCCATCCCTTTCTCCATGGTTGGGCAAGCCTGGCCCAGTTTGCTTCTGGGTCAGTTTTCTCTCCCAGTAGCTCCTATTCCTCAGCTCCACAGCTCCACGCTGTGCTGATGCTCTGCCATAAGCCTGGTCATGCCAGGAGGCTCTGGGGCTGCTGCCTTGTGCATCTGCCTGAATTCCTTGACATTCCCTTCAGTTTTTTATCACATACGAGCAGCTGAAGCGGCTTCCATTCTGACAGCTGGCTTCACCCCCCCCGAGTCCTCTCCAGGACACGCAGCAGAGCTTTGCTGCAGCCTTCCTTCATCTCACCATCCCGTGTCTTGCTGTGTTGGTAATTGTGGGTCTGGGCCCTCCCCTCCCCAAGTGCACAGTCCCTGGAGCATGCTGTGGCTGAGGAGTACCTGGGAGGCTGGAGGCGGGTGCTGTGTGAGTTTTTGTGTCAGGGCAAGTGTGAAGGGTGTCTGAGCGGGCTTGAGCGGTATCTTCTGTGAAGATCTGGGTGCTCCCATGGCCTTTGGATGCTGCTGGGGGGGGTGGTTTGGCTCGTGTGTGCTGCTCGGCCATGGTGGAGGCTGGGCTGGGCGGGTGCTGGCGTGTGTCTCACCTGGAACCTCATTAAATTATTTACTGACTGGTGGCTGAGCCTGTGTTTGGGTGGGTTTTGCTGCAGGGACCCACAGCGCCTGCTCCAGCCAACCCGGGAGGGAGCAGCAGCTATTCCTAATGTTCAGCACACTCCATGGGTCTTTCTTCTCCAAATTGCTGTATGTAAAAGCAGTCTTGAGGGTTCATTACAATAGAAATGTTCTGAACCAAAGTAATTGTTAGTGATGAAACCAAGTTGCAAAACCTCAGTCTCTTACTGCTTACATTGGGTTTGCTTTTATCATTTTTAAAGCAGGTTAAATGTGATTTCAAGCTGAATTCAGACGTCCCACTACTTTAAGATGGTGGCTCTAATGTTGCTAGTGCTGAGCAGAACATCAAGCAAGATATTTTGGTCTCTTATTTAATGTGTACGGTTGTGAAAGCCAACAGCTCTTGTGGTCCTACTCCCTGTCCTCATTGTGGGGTGGCTTCAGGTCGGATGAAGGTCCGTGGTGAATTTCCTCCATGCAAACTGCACAAGGGACGTTCAGACAAAGCCAGCCTGGACAATGAGAACTGTGCTGTGAAGGTGTCGCTGCCTTGGGCCAGCGAGTGCATGAGGAAGGGCACTCCAAGAAGCTCCTGGACTTGAGTCATGCTCTGAACAGAGGTGATACCCCAGGGCTATGGCTCAGCAGGCTGTGAGGACTCTCCTCACAGTTAAACTGCATTTGCAAGCTGTCAAAAATGGGGAGCAGTGGATTTGGAGTGGACAAGGTCCATACTCCTCGCCTGGCCTCCCTCATGGAGAAGGTTTCTAAACATGACCAAGTAAATCAATACTGATGTGGTGGATGAATATGAGTCTATTTGGAGATGGATTTTAACTGCAGTTCATGACATTGTTTGGGTGTTCTTTTCTGTTCCTGTACCTTCAGTCCTGGGGCCATGTCTTCTGTGCATCATTCCCATGGGATGTTGCTGTTGATTGTTGGACTAATCCCCCAACAGCTCTTAAGCATGTGCAGTTGGTGTCCTGGGCATGTTTCTCAGGCATTGCTCAGAGGCTCCTCATAGCAGCCTCAGGTGTGTCCCCACGGCCACTTTGCTGTTTGCATTTCTCAACTGCAGGGTGCTGGTGAGAGGCTCTTACTTCCCCTCTTCTTCCTCCCATTGGATCAGCTCCTCAGGATGGCTTTGGAGATGTCCTGCCTTCCCTGAGTGGTCCCAGCCCCTGGAGATGGCCCTTATCAGAGCTGTGATAGCACTGGCTGTCATAAATGCTGCCCCATGTTCCTCTGCCTCACTCTGTCAGTAGTAACGGAGGTACACGGGTGGTGGTGGTGATCCCTGCAGGTGTGGGCGCACCTCGCCCTTTGCCAGGCACTCCCGGAGGGTGGTCAGAGAGCCCTTCATCCCAAAAGCGTCCCACCTTGGCTGCCAGCAGGGAGGAAAAGCTGAGTCCTCCCAAGGATTCTCCATTGGTAGCTCAGTGTACTGCTGAGTGGTTTGAAAACCAACATCCCAGCCCCTACATGGCTGGTAACCTTGCTCCGAGGGGCAGAGCTGTTGAGGTCTGGCATTTTCTAAGGAGGTTCTTTGCCTCAGGACATTATAGTCACAGAATTCCAGACTCTGGGGTTTGGGTTGAAGATCATCCAGTCCTGGCCCCCTGCCACGGGCAGGGACCCCTTCCACTGGAGCAGCTTGCTCCAAGCCCCTGTGTCCAACCTGGCCTTGAACACTGCCAGGGATGGGGCAGCCACAGCTTCTCTGGGCACCCTGTGCCAGCGCCTCAGCACCCTCACAGGGAAGAGCTTCTGCCTAAGAGCTCATCTCAGTCTCCCCTCGGGCAGGTTCAAGCCATTCCCCTTGGCCTGTCCCTACAGGCCCTTGTCCCAAGCCCCTCTCCAGGTTTCCTGCAGCCCCTTTAGGCACTGGAGCTGCTCTAAGGTCTCCCCTTCAGGAGCCTTCTCTTCTCCAGAGCAGAGCTGCTCCAGCCCTCGCAGCATCCGCATGGCCTCCTCTGGACTCATCCCTGACGTCTCCCTGGGCAAATACAAGAGGAGGTTTGGGGGTGTGAGGCCACCAAAGCCCTTCCCGTACCCACCTGCAGAGCAGACCCAGGGTGTTCCCTGCTCTGCAGCTCCATCCACAGTGGCCACAGTTCGTGTTTCTGCAGCATCTCCCCATCACAGTGCCAGGTCCTGCCCTGTGCCTTGATCCCAGCCTCTCCCCAGCCTCTGGTTACTGTTTGACAGAGGAAGGTTTGAACCTGCCTGTTTCCTGGCAGCTCCATTATTTTCCGGCTCATGAGACAGGAGAAGTGACTTCTTGCACTTGGTTTAAAGGGATGCAGCAGTCTCAGTCCTGGCCTGTGTGGGTCACCCACTCTGGGAATGTGAGGGACGTGCACTGGGTTCATAGGACTCTATACACAAGGACACAGAAGCTTTATTTCCATGAATCTCTTTGTTACAAGTTACTATTGGTAAGGGAAATACACTTGTAATTAGTAAAGAGTGTGTGAGGTGTCCCTGCCATTGCAGGGGTTAGAATTAGATGATCTTTAAAGTCCCTCCCAACCCAAACCATGAAACAGAATATATAATTTTATTTTTGTACTGTTAGTAGCAAGTCTGTGTATTCCATTCCAAAGTGGTCTATTATTATGGTGCTCTTGGGGTGAGGTCCGTGATGGGTGAAGTCTCTCTCTGGAGATTATCTGTGTCCCAGAGCCTGCAGTCACCCCAAGCATCCCCAGAGGGTCTGAAGGATGATATGGAGTTCACATACTTTGGGAGAGGGATACTTGGTTTGGGTGGGAAGCCTGTTACTTTTACGTGGATCCATAAGTGAGCAGAGGACACCAGCTCCTGACTTCTGCTTGTTAGGAGGCCCCTTTGCAGGTTATGGCAGGTTCCTGCTCTGCAGGTTATGGTAGGTTCTTTGTTATGGGCTTACCAAATGCACTGTAGTGTCCCAGCTGCACCTGCTGAAGACATGCCATGTTCCCAGGCTCATGGACAACTTTACGTGTGCTTTAGCTGACATCTCGTCGGTTCTTTTCCCCTCTACAACCACATCACCTTTACAGCTGCTGCACCAAGGGATCAGTGGTGTTCTCTTGATCCCTGCAGGAAGAGGCTTCCCTGGCTCTGGCAGGGACCCCGTGAGCTGTGTGACCCACATGGACCAGTGGGGCTGGGTGCTGGGACATCCCTCTGCTTGTTCCCTGATGCCAGCACCATCTCTGCTCAGGTTCTTGGTGCTTGGCAGGGGCACAGGCACCACCCCCTGTGCCATCGTGGCAGCTTCCTGTCCAGGTGCTCACAGCTCACCTCCTGCTCCAGGGTTGTCTGGAAACGTGGCTGGAGGGAGGGACCTCTGTGGGCACAGCAGGTGCTGGGAGTGCTCCAGTCCCTTCCGCAGGCAGGGGCTCAGCAGAGCTCCGCTCCAGCTCAGAGACACCACTGGCTGCTGCAGCACCGCCGGACTGAGGAGCTGCTCTTGGAAGTCCACGGTGAGGGATGCCCTAGAACCGTGTTGGGGACACACCATCGTGGGGCTGTGCCCCGTGGGGACAGCCATGGCTGGCTCAGCCTTCGGAGCCATCCTCGCTGTGCTGGCCTCGCTCATCATCACTGCCAATGCGCTGGTGGTCATCGCTCTCCTCTGCCTCATCCAGAAAAGAGGCTCCAAGGGGCTCTATTTTGTCCTCAATCTCGCCGTTGCGGATGCCATGGTTGGCTTCACGGTCACAGGGCTGGTCATGGATGAGTTTTCCCAGCCCTTTTATCCTCCCCAGATCTTCTGCGTCCTGAGAATGTCTTTTGTGACATCCTCTTCTGCTGCCTCTATCCTATCCCTGACCCTGATCGCATGTGATAGGCACCTGGCCATCAGGAAGCCTTTCCACTACTTCCAGCTGATGACAGGCCTGCGGGTCGGGGTGCATCTGGCGGGGCTCTGGCTGGTGGCTGCCATCATCGGCTTCCTCCCGGTCCTCACCCCAGGCTTTCAGAAGGTCGCCCACCATGAGAAGTGCTCCATCTTTGGGGTCTTCCACCCCACCTACATGCTCACCGTCTTCTGCGTCGGCTTCTTCCCAGCACTCTTCCTCTTTATTTATCTCTACTGCGACATGCTGAAAATCGCCTCCGTACACGTGCAGCACATTCAGGAGGTGGAGCAGGCAGGGCTGGCGGGCACTGCCTGCCCCCCGGCCCGCACCACCAGCGACATGAAGGCCATGCGCACTGTGGCTGTGCTCATCGGGTGCTTCACGCTGTCCTGGCTGCCCTTCTTTGTTGCCAGCATCGTGCAGACTGTCTGCTCCGAGTGCTTCCCCACCAGGGTCATCGAGAACTACCTCTGGCTGCTGGGGCTGGGCAACTCCCTCCTCAACCCGCTGCTCTACTCTTTCTGGCAGAGGGACGTGCGGCTGCAGCTCTCCCAGCTGGCTGGGGCTGTGAAGAGGATCCTCCTTCACTCGGGCAACCGCCGCCGATTCTCCAGCAGAGGCACCAACTCTGTCCCCACTGTGTCCTGCCTGCAGATCCAGCACTGACATGGTAAGGAGCAGCTGTCACCAGCTTTCCAGCTCATCTTCTGCACTGTGACCATGAACTTGGGGCCTGCTGGCTCTGGAGGAAGTCACAGACCAGGGTGGGACCAATCTGGATGCTAATTCCACATTGGCGTGGCCAAATTCCAGCCTGCCACAACAGGGCCTGGTCGGCATCAGCCCCAGGCATTGCACATGTTGGGTTTTGCCTGGAGAGCTCAGCAAGAGCAGCCTGGTGTCTCCCAGGTCCAAGCCCTCAGCACTCATTCTGCAAGCCAACATCCTTCGCCCATTGCTGCCCAGAACTGGCTCCTCCTGCCCTGCCCTCTGCCTGCAGCACCAGCTCTCTGGTAGCAGAGTCTGGGAGGTGTGCTCGTGTCAAGTCTGTCCTGGACCACAAGCACTACCAGTCGCTGCCCATCCTAAACCAAACTCGGGATCCTACAGCTGCAGCCTGGGCCATTCCCCAGCCCTGTCCCCTGCAGGGTGAGGGGTGCGAGTCTGGGCTCTGCCGTGGCACTGAGACCCCGAGGAGGCTCCTGCTGTTCCCCAGCAGCAGCGGTATCCACATGGAAGCTGGCATGGTGAGCAGGGCAGCATGGGCTGTGCCACTGCTGTTTGGCCTGGGCTCTTAAGGAAGTTAATGAGTAACTGGCTGAAGGAGCAGGAGGAACAGCTGCCTCCAAGCCTGGGAAGCCCCAGGCAGAGCGTTGTTCTATCCCACCAGGGCTGTGGGCTGGATTTGGGACTGCAAGGGTCCCTATGCACCGACTCATCCCATGAGAGTGTTTCCACGTGCCTTGCCATGCTGCAGTGCTGGCCAGCTTGTTTGCCCTGGCAGAGACTATAACCAGATTTCATTGATTCTCATTAAATCATGTCTGTTTAATCCATACAGCATGAAAATTTCTGTCCGAAGAGGTTTCTTAGCTCAGCATGTTCCCTGATCTGAAATGAGGGTGCTGTGCTCGCAAGAGCAGTTTTTTTCACCTCTGCCATCTGTCCCACTGGTGGACACGACTGTTCAAGGCTATATCCACTCCTCATCCAGAAGCTGCCTTGGTCCTGAGGCCTCCCCACCCTAGAGTGAGCAGCAAAAATAAAAGTGCCATTAAAAAAACCCAACGACAAGGTGATCTGTGGCGTTCACCTTCCATGGGAAAGGCCTGAGGCTGCCCATCACACGGCTGATGCTGTTCCTAAGCTGTGCAACACGGAGGGAAGGTGTCTGTGTTGCAGTCCTGGCGCTGCGGGTGGGTTGGTATCTCGTAGGTGGATCCAGCCTGAATCAGTGCTGGGACCGCCCCATCATCTGCCTGCAGGGTGTTTGCTGCCTGTTCTCATGGAGCCTGAGCTCTGCCGGCTGTTGCTGTGCAAAGCCGCCCGCCCACCCTCACCGGTACCGCCGGAGCAGCCCCCGCAGCCGCCGGCCGTGGGTGTCCTGTGGGAATGAAGACAGCTTACTCGTGGTCTCTTGCTGCTTCCCCAGCTCACCCGCTGCTGCCTCTGCGGCCCTGTGCTGCCCGCAGCGCGGAGCAGGGCCGGAGCAGCGCTTGGGCCCGGGCATGGAACCAGGCAGGACGGCAGAGCCGGAGCCGCGGCCGTGCAGCCTGCAGCGACCACGGCTGCTGCACCCGCAGCGGGGACACGGCTCCTCAGCGCCCTCAGTGCCAGAGACACGGGGTAGCGGCTGGGGGGAAGGAGCCGCTGCTGCTGGGCTCTGCTGCTGGTGGGGGCACGGCACGGCGGAGGCAGAGCATCCCCCCGCAGCGGAGGCAGCTGATCTGTGCCTCCTCTCTCCCAGCGCTGTGCTGCAGGGGGCGCTCCATTCCTGGAGATACCTCCAGGTCACGCTGGGAGCAGAGGGACCATTGGACAAGGGCCTGTAGGGCCAGGCCAAGGGGAATGGCTTGAACCTGCCCGAGGGGAGACTGAGCTGAGCTCTTAGGCTGAAGCTCTTCCCTGCGAGGGTGCTGAGGCGCTGGCACAGGGTGCCCAGAGAAGCTGTGGCTGCCCCATCCCTGGCAGTGCTCAAGGCCAGGTTGGACACAGGGGCCTGGAGCAAGCTGCTCCAGTGGAAGGGGTCCCTGCCCGTGGCAGGGGTTGGAGCTGGAGACATTCAAGGTCCCTTCAACCCAACCAAACCCCAGAGTCTGGGATGCTGTGGGCGCGGGTGGGTGCATCGGGCTAACGGGGCAGGAGGCATGGGTCGGTCCTGCCCCAGGAGAGAGGCAGAGCTGCCGCCGCTGTGCTCCAGCCCCATAAACCCCACTGCCACCGCCTCTGTTTCTGTTAACGGGAGGCTCCCCCTCCAGCAGCCGCACAGGCGCACTCCGCCACCGTCCCAGTGTGCCCTGCGCGCAGCGCCCCGGCTCTGAGCGGCCTCACAGCCAATAGGCGGCCGTGGCGGGGGCGCGCGCGGAGGGGCCGGTGCGGATGTTTGCGGAGGGGGGACGGGGAGGTGCTGGGTGCGGGTCGGCAGCGGGACCGGGAGCGGGACCTGGCGCTGGCCCGGGCGGTGAGTGCGGGGCTAGGGCTGGGTGAGCCGGGCTGAGAGGTCTCGGTGTCCGGGCGGCAGGGCTCAGCCCCGCCCCGGGAGACCTCCACGGGGAGCGGCTGCCTGGGCCTGCTGCGCCCGCGGCCCGGTGCTGCTCACCGGGGGAGGCGGTGGTGTGGGCCTGGAGCGCTCGGGCCTGCTGTGCGCTCCGCTTCCGTGGGTGCTGCTGGGCCGAACCTGCGCCCCTCATGTCCGAGGCGGCCGAGGGTTGGCTTCCGGCCGGTGCAGGCGGCTCGGTGCGGCTCTCGCCGGCCGTCGCCGTCACTGGGGTCCCGAGAGCTCCGGGGACCGCTGCTGGTGGTGACACCTCGAGAGCTCCGATGTCTCTCAGCAGGCGGGGGGGCTGCTCCGAGGGGTTTAAGTTGGGGTGGCAGAGTCTCTAGGCTGCTTTTTGCTGGTGATCAAACCGTCACCGGGTGGTAGGTTTGAGGGGTCGGCGAAATGAGATGTGCTTAAAGAAGTGATTGCTGAGCTGACGGACTGCCACACGGGGCACTTCTGGTGCTGCGGGAGGGTTGGGTTGCAAAGGAAGGGGGGAAAGTGGGAGCAGCTTCTCACCAGCTGGGTGTAGCTGTCACGGTGTTAATGGTTGGGTGTAGCTGGCTGGGTTCTCAGAGCAGTGGCAGGCTCAGCCATGCCCAGCTCAGCTTATGCTGGATCCAGTCACGACAGCCAGACTGTACGTAGGAAGCACTGTCAGGTTCCGGCATGCTTGTACCGGTAACCACAGATACCGATGGGCTGTAGCTCTCCCACAGCCCTGCTCCATAAATATCTTTTGCATCCATATGTATGCGCATGCATGCATTTGTTTGCTTCCTTAAGCGTTACTCTCGGGCTTCTTTATGTGTCACGTACTGTCTCAATTATTTTGCCCTCATTTTGGCTGTGTGCAAAGTCCAGCTGTTAACACCAATGTAGATTCACATCTTGCTGCATAGAAGCGCTTTTATTTTCAGTGCCAGGTATGTTAGTCCTTGTATAGGTTACCCGTTAATCTGCACACTTTCTAGCTCCCCTGTACTTCACTTGCATAGCTACAATAATCATTAGACAGTTTTTCCAGCCTGCAGAACGTGGCAGTGGAGTGGTGAGACAATGGTAAGTGCTGGGGCAGCCTGGGCAGGAGTTTGTCTAGCAGACTTGCATCCTTCTCACTCCAGCCTCTCACGTCATTCCCACTCTGGAAGCTGACTGGTTGGCTTTTGTCTCTCGGTGTTTTGTGGATGGATTTGATAACGTCTCATTAAGAAGCCCTCTGTCTCAAGCTGTTGAAAGCTCTGCCGGAGCTGCCACAGGGTCAGGTTTCTTAGTTTAAGGTCATGTTTTTGGTACGGGTGACTCGAGCCCCTAGAAGGGGTGAAGTTCTATCTCCCGATAATTTCAGAGATAAGGTGTTGCTGGAGAGGCATTCTGTGCACCTTCCGAAGATGGTGTGAGATTTCTGCCCTAATCCCCAACTTTTCTACAGACATTCCTCCAGTGTCATGCTGCATCCCGCTGCTCTGATCCCATCCAGGTCCTTGTGCTAGTGCTGCCCCTCTGAGGCTCTTGGCTGGGCACAGCACTCACCCCCTGGTCCAGGACTTTTCCAATGATCCTGATTGCTGCCTCTGCTGGAGTTCTCTTTGGGACTTCCCTCTTTTTTCCTCTCTTTTTCATTTCTCCTATCCCCCTGCAGTAGGTGTGTGCAGTTAGGCTTGCCTGCTGCCTCACTTTGCCTGACAGCTTTTTGCTCCTCACCTTTCAAAATGTATTTCTGAAAAGGTGAGCTTTTGAGCATTTGTTAGGAAGTGGTGGGTGTTGCCCTAGGATGTGCTGGGAGTAGAGCTGGCAGGACGCGGAGGATTGAAGGGCAGAGCTGTCCAGGGCCAGGCACGTCCCCTCTGCACCCAGGGGATGGAGGATGAGCTACTTGCTCCCCAGAAATCCCCGTGCTACCACAAAGGAATTCCTAGATGCTGTGTCAAGAGGGAAGGTGGTTTGACAGAGCATTCCAAAAGCACTCCATGGTGCCTTGGTGTGGGGGCTGTGCACATGCACCTAAGTGTGAGCAGCACACATAGCATGCATATGTGCATATGCATACTGGTAAAGAATGTTTCCCTTTGTTTTGGGTTACAACAGGAAGTAAAGGGCACAGTTAGGCAATTTGGTAACTCTCTATGGTTTTGCTGCTGTGGCTGTGTATTTGGTTTTAGGGCCCAGGAAGAAAGGGACTGTGTCTAAGTGCATTGCTGGAACAATTAACTTGTCTGACATTAATATTTCTTGAGTTCAAGCTTCCTGATCCAAAGGGGATGAGCAGTGTGCCTCTTGCCACTGAGGATTACCAGAACATTACCCTGTGTAGCGCAGCTAATCTCAGGCATGCAAACAGGGTTTATTTAACTGCATGCTGGCACTTGAAAGTGCTGCTGTGTGAAACCCCTTCCAGGGTGAGACAGATGCCCAGCACTCCTCCACCTGCTTTCCACCTCCCCCCCAGCCCAGAATTCGTTCCTGGTGCCAGGCCCTGGAGACTGATGGTGACACATGGAGCTTCCGTGTGCCAGCTCCAGTCCCAACCTGTGCTCTCGGTGCCCAGGGAAGTGCAGGGTCAGTTCATCTCTCATTAGGACCTGAGCTCCACTCTGCGCTTGGAGGCTTGTGTGGGAGCTCAACATTGGGCTCCATCCTTTCCATAGATAAGGAAGCTGGGAGCAGCAGAACTGGCGGAAATCCTGGAATATGACCAGCATCTTGCCATGTTTCTCGTGCAGTTCGCAGGTGAAGTTGTGCTTTGTGTGCATGTCCTGACAGCATGCTTCCCTCAGTGTCTGGTCAGTGCTGGTAGCACACAGAAGTGTATGGAGTGGACAGAAGTAACTTTCGGAAGTGTGCTGTCCTCCCCAGTGTGCCTAGCCAGCTTTGGGATCAAACTGATGATTATAGAGCTCTAGCTATGGCACTTAAGGAAAGAGTTCACAAGTCCAACAGCAGGTTTTGAACCTGGCAATGAATCGGGGAAGGCAAATGCTTGGTGTCAAAATGTAA